TTATAGACAGTGAGAGAGAGACAGAGAGAAAGGTCTTCCTTCTGTTGGTTCACTCCCCCAAATGACCGCTACAGCCAGCACTGCGCGGATCTGAAGCCAGGATCCAGGTGCTTCTTCCGGTCTCCCATGCGGGTGCAGGGCCCAAGCACTTGGGCCATCCTCCACTGCACTCCCGGGCCACAGCAGAGAGCTGGCCTGGAAGAGGAGCAACCAGGACAGAATCCGGCACCCATATGGGATGCTGGTGCCGCAGGCGGAGGATTAACCAAGTGAGCCATGGCGCCGGCCCCCATTTCTTTTTGTTTCTATTATTTAGTTTAACACTTTTACCTTTGGATATAATGACTGGAAAGATAGAAACATGTTTATGGTACTTGTGACAAATTGAAATATTTTTTAGAGATTTATTTATTTTATTTGAAATGCAGAGTTACACACACAGAAGGAGAAGGAGAAGGAGAAGGAGAGAGAGAGAGAGAGAGAGAGAGGTCTTCCATCTGCTGGTTCACTCCCCAGATGGCTGCAATGGTGGGAGCTGCGCTGCTCTGAAGCCAGGAGCCAGGAGCTTCTTCCATGTATCCTACGTGGGTACAGGGGCCCAAGGACTTGGGCCATCTTCTACTGCTTTCCCAGGCCATAGCAGAGAGCTGGATCAGAAGTGGAGCAGCCAGAAATCGAACTGGCACCCATATGGGATGCCGGCACTGCAGGTGGCGGCTTTTACCTGCTACACCACAGTGCCGGCCCCAGATGGAAATATTTTCTAAAAGACTGTACCAATTTACATTGCCTCCTGCAATAAGTAAGTGGTCCTTCAACACTAAGGTTATCAGTAATGGATGGAGTTTTTGTAGAGAAATTCAAATATAGAAAAATTTAGAAAAAAATATAGAAAAATATAGGAAAAAAGGCATGGCATTTGGCATATTTGGATACTGGTTAGGTTGTCTGTGTCTCACATGGAGTGCCTAGGTTTATTACCTGTCTCCAGCTTCCTGCTAATGTTTACCCCGGGAGGTGTGGTGATGACCCCAATAGTTGGATCTTACCACCCACATAGATGACATGCATTGCATACCTGGCTCCTGGCTTCAGCGCTGCCCAGGCCATCGCATTTAGGGAGTGAATCAGTGGATGGGAGACCTTTCTCTGTCTCTCTGTCTCTTTCTGCATCTCAAATAAATAAATACAAATGTTTGGCCGGCGCCGTGACTCACTAGGCTAATCCTCCGCCTTGTGGCACCGGCACACTGGGTTCTAGTTCCGGTTGGGGCGCCAGATTCTGTCCCGGTTGCCCCTCTTCCAGGCCAGCTCTCTGCTGTGGCCAGGGAGTGCAGTGGAGGATGGCCCAGGTGCTTGGGCCCTGCACCCCATGGGAGACCAGGAGAAGCACCTGGCTCCTGCCATCGGATCAGCGTGGTGCGCCGGCTGCAGCACGCCAGCCATGGCGGCCATTGGAGGGTGAACCAATGGCAAAGGAAGACCTTTATCTCTGTCTCTCTCTCTCTCTCACTGTCCACTCTGCCTGTCAAAAAAAAAAAAATACAAATGTTTAAAAAGGTGGAAAATACTATCTCGAGTTAGCTTCAATTTGTTTTTCTTTGTTTACAGTGATGACAGCAACAACAACAACAAAGCAAACAGTTCGCCTTGCAAAACTGGTCCCAGACAGGAGTGAGTGAGTTGAGGACAAATTGTGATTTTTGTGCATGATTAGATAACAGAGGTAGGTTTAGTGAAGCTGATGAAGCTTAATCTCTGGGCCTTTCGTTTCCAAGATTCTTAGAGGTGCTCTCACAATGGTCTTATGTTTTTGTAAAAAATGTAGCTTCAATCAGTTAGGACTGCTGTCTACTTGGAGGTTTGCTGGCAAACTGCCTTTTTCTGTGAAAAGAAAAAAGAAAAGCTCTGATTTGTGTCATTTGCCAATTTCCATGATATAAATACTCCCACCGGGGCTGATTTCATTCTTCTGATGGTTTAACATGCAGATTACAAAACTCCTGAATATTTAACAGCCAGCTCTTGACACTGTCCCTCCGATACACTTCCCTTCCCACCTAGAGGTGGTAAAGTGGGATCAGACTATGGGGAAGTTGAGTTGATGCTCCTTAGTTTCTAGGCCTAGGTCATTTATTTATGTGGACTGAAGGCACTTTCACACATACTTGTTACTGGTAGACCCTCCTAGTATGCGAATAGCTTCCAGGACTATTCCTCCTCTACTGTGCTGGTTGACCTGAGTTGTGACTTGAATGCACAGGACCAGAAGTCCTATCATGACATGAGAGTGTCCTGTATGTCCTGGCCCCCTGGAGTATGTGAATACTTGTCTTAGTCTGTTCAGGCTGCTGTAACACAATATGATACACTGTGTGGCTGATAAATAGCAACAATTTATTTTTTGAAGTTCTGGAGACTGGGGAATGCAAGATGAAGGTATCAGCACATTTGGTGTGTGGCTTGCAGTCTGATATTCTGCCGTGGAGATGGTGCCTCCTCGCTGTCCTCACAGGGCAGAAGGCTCTCTGGGACCTCTTTTGTAAGGGTACTAATCCTATTCATGACCCCTCTCCCCATGACCTAATCGTCTCCCAATGCTCCTACCTCCTAATACCACCACCTTGGTGGTTAGGTTTCAACCTATAAATTTTAGGGAGATGGAAACATTGAGACCCTAGCAGCAGTGAAAGAGAAATGAGATTTGAAATATTTATGATTATAAGCTGCCATGTGGAAACTGATCAGACATGTGAAATTATTAAGGAAAGAATTTGGCTCTTATGGATGTCTAGCCAAAATGGTTCTCTCCTGTTAGGAATAAACTTGATAATAGAAGTTCCAAGATTTTTAAAAGGGAAGTGTAGGCATAAACTTGTAACTGGCACTCTATAAACAGTGACTATGTTAATGTGTGAACTGCTACATGTTACATGAGGGGGCTTCAAAAGTTAGTGAAAAATTGGAATAAAGAGCTGATGTGAATTTTCCATGAACTTTTTGAAGCCCCCTTGCTCATATCTTAAACACGTATTACACAAATTACGAAGTTGAAAGAAAAATTTCTGAACAGTCAGCAAGTAAGAAACAAACATTGGGGGAGGTGTTTCATGTACAGTTAAGACACCACTTGGGATGCCCACAATCCCCTATCAGAGTGCCTGGGTCTGAGTCCTGCCTCTGCTCCCAATTCCAGTCTCCTGCTAATGTGTACCCTGGGAAGCAGCAGGTGATGGCTCAGGGGATGAGTGCCTGCTACCCATTTGGGAGACCAGAATTGAGTTCCTAATTCCTGGCTTTGGCATGGCTGGCCCCTGTTATTGCAGGCATTTGGGGAGTGAACTAGCTGAGAGATCCCTGTCTCTGTTTCTCGGCCTTTCAAATAAATACAGAATGAATTTTATTTTATTTTTTTAAAGATTTATTTATTTGAAACTCAGAGTTACATAGAGAGAGAGAGAGAGAGAGAGAGAGAGAGAGGTCTTCCATCCGCTGGTTCACTCCCCAATTGGCTGCAATAGCTGGAGCTGAGCTGATCCAAAGCCAGAAGCCAGGAGCTTCTTCCAGGTCTCCCACGTGGGTGCAGGGGCCCAAGGACTTGGGCCATCTTCCACTGCTTTCGCAGGCCATAGCAGAGAGCTGGATCAGAAGTGGAGCAGCCTGGACTCAAACCAGTGCCCATATGGGATGCTGGCACTGCAGGTGGTGGCTTTACCCGCTACGCCACAGCGCCGGCCCCTGAATTTTATTTTTTAGAAATATTTATTTATTTATTTGAAAGTCGGAGTTACATAGAGACAGAGAGAGGTCTTCCATCTGCTGGTTCACTCCTCAAATGGCTGCAATGGCTAGGGCTGGCCTGAGCCAAAATCAGGAGCCAGGAGCTTTTTTATTCGGGTCTCCCACGTGAGTGGCAGGGGCCCATGTACTTGGGCCATCTTAGTCTGCTTTCCCAGGTGCACCAGTAGTAAGTTAGATTAGAAATGGAGCAGCTAGGTCTTGGTGCTCATAGGGGATTCTGGTATTGCAGCCAGCGCTGAAACCAGCTGTGCCAGAATGCCAGCCCCTAAAAGTTTTAAAAGTGATCAACCATGTTAGAAGATGAACTGAATTCTTTGTATCCTCTTTAGAGAAAGTATCAGAAAAATTGTTATGTGAAGAATGTATCAACAAGCATGTGGCCAAACAGGAAGGAAAACATTATAAATGTGTGGCAGGCATTACCTAATGAAAACACATTATACTTACTTAGAAAAAAATAAAATGAAATGCATACATTGCATGCATGATAGTATAAGCAAGAACTTAGTGCTCTTTTGTCTTTGATAACATTGACATTTTGGAGAAGTCTAGGCCGGATATTTTTTAAGTTGCCCTACACTTTGAATTCGTGTGATTGTTTCCTCAATGTTATAGTCAGGTAGACATTTTTGGCAAGAAGACTACATAGGCGAAGTCGGTCCTTTTCCAAATGCAGCACATCAGAAGGTATATGAGGTGAAATTACTGTTTAGTGATACTTGGTTATTTGGTTAAAATGGTGGCATATATTTTTAAGTGGTGAGATAGATACACACAAACACGCATAGATAAATTAGACAGCCATTGTGTTCACACACTGCGAAGCTAAGTTATCAGGCAAAACTCTGAGAACGCGGCAGGAGGCTGTCGCTTTCCCAGGCTGGGGGGAAAAAACCGGTTCAACCACGCCCACTGTCCTGCCTGCCCGCGCCTCTTTTCCCGGAAAATCATCTCTCAGAACCAGAGAGCCTCTAGTTCCACGCGCCCAAATCGGTTCCCATCATCGTTGATGCGCCTGCGCAGTCTACAGGCGGGTCCCTTCCCGCGCCCGACCGCTTCGTTCTCCAGCTCTCCTCCGGCTTCCCTTCAGCTCTAGCTTTTCCCTAAGGGGTCATCACAGGGCGCCTAATGCGCGCCCGCGGGAAGGCCGGGGGCGGGGCGCGGCGCGCGCTGCACGTCAGTGTCCTTCCGGGCGGAAGTCCACCTCCTCCTAAGCCGCTGATTGGCTTTTGGGCTCGCGCCTATCTCGGCCCCCGCTCCAGTCAGTTTCGGGCTGGTTGGCGCGGAATCGAGAGACTCCGGGACCATGGCGCCCATACACGGCAACGATTCCGAGCTGGGGGCGAGCGGTGAGGGACTATTCCATGGGCGGGACACTTGGTTGGGAATGTGGGGACCGTGACATTATTGCGGATTGCGGGAGGTCTCTGCATTCTTTTTTCCTGGAGAGGCGCACTCTCCCGGTCTGCCCCGCGGGTGTGTTTGGGTGCTGATCTTAGGCGTCTCGGGCGGGAGCCCTTTGGTGTTGGACAGGATTTCCTTGCAGGGCTGTGTACGCTTGGCAAACTCAAGAGCTCCCTGTAGGATTTTTTTGTTCGGGAGACTGCCTTCCCTCTCCCACTGATGGTCGTCATACTCGCTTGCTGTTCTTTTTACTCGGATTTTTCCTGGGTGGTACTCACGTGCTGGGCACAACTTCGTTGAGTCTGGTCCCGGTGGAGCACTGTCTCGATCGAAAGTATTTCGCTGCTGCCAAGGACAGAACAGATGTGCGCCTTCCTTTTTAGGAACTTGCAGAAAAATTGTTCTGTGTTGTAACTAAGGAAAGCTAGCTGTAAGCGCTGTCAACCTGATTCAAATGCGTTTTGTCTTTTTGGGTAATGCGTTTCTACTTTGCGTTAAGAGTTTTTCTTTCAAATTCTTCTGTGGGAAGGTCTTAAAGTGGTGCATAGAAATAATGCTCGACTCTAGTCATTTCTGAGGAAGTTTGTAAAAAAAAAATAGTTCAGCATTTTGGGTGCCCTGTATATCACTCAGTTTCTCAGTAGTAATCTTTTATTTCCAAAAATAGAATACCGAAATGCAAATTGCTTTGTCTGATTTCTGATTTTTGAACAGTGTTCAACGAAAGTGTGACTTCAGTGAACTTCTAACTTAAAATCAGATGCTTCGCTTTCTTAGCTCAGGCTCACACTTCCTGTCACTCAAATACATCATCATTAATGAGAACTGGGTTCCTAATCAGCTTCCTTTGCATTCACCTAGTTGTGAATCACAGATTTCAATTTGTTCTTCTAGCCTTTCGTTTTTAAAGACAATTTATTGTGTAGAGTCGACTAGCCTGGATTACAGATGGGCTGTAGGATGTGAGTACGTGAGCAGCCTTTGTAGCACTTGATCAGTGATTTGCCACTAAGTCCTTTTCACCCTAAAAACTGCACGTCATCTGTGAACAGCAAGAAATCACTCCCTGGAGGATACTGTGCAATCTTGATACCTCTCTTAAGTCGTGGTGTTGATTAAGTAGTTACTGGGGACTTGTGACTGGAATTTCTGCTGTGGAGGAGGGTGAGATTTTTACCTGATAGCCTGCTGTGGGCTAGTGTCTCTGCTTTGAGGGAGAATGATGGGACTGCAGGTGGTAATTTTGAAACAAATATTTAAACTTGCCTAACTGGATTTTTCTATGCTTGTTCTTTGTTATGCTTACTTACCTGTACCAAGCATTGGAGACATTCAAAAAAAAAACCCTAGGCCTTTTTTCTTTATTATTTATTTTCATTTATCTCAAAGGGAGAGAGAGAGGGAGACAAAAGATCCCCCATCCGTTGGTTCACTCCCCAAATGCCTAGAACGGTGGGTGGAGGCTGGGCCAGACCAGGAGCTGGGAACCCAATCTGGGTCTTCCCTGGTGGATGGCAAGGACCCTAGTACTTGAACCATCACCTGCTGCTTCCCAAGGTGTACATTAGCAGAGAGCTGAAATCACAAGCAGACCCAGGATTTGAACCTAGGAACTCTGATGTGGGCATCCCAAATGGCGTCTTACGTGCTGTGCCTAACACCTGCCTTGGCTTTTTTTCCCTTATGTATTGGAGAGTGGAACACCTTGACAAAAGCAGTGAAAAGTCTAAAGATCTGTAACTAGCTGTTATGTATGAAAAGACATCAGGGGATGTTTAATGATTAAAAAAAAGTGGGTAGAATGGTTCATTCATTTGTTCATTTGACAGATATTTATTATGTACTTACTGGTCACAGGTGTTCTGCCAGGCTCTGGCATTATGATGGTGGGTAGGTTGGACATGGTTTTTGTCTTCAGGAGTCAAGATGGTAAGCATGTCATTATATGTAGTGCTATATTGAGGCTTCCCTGAGGAAAGGACTTTGCTTTTATTTCTTCTTTCTGAAGCTAGCCCATGGTACTGCTAGATGTGGGGTGTAAGCATTCATTTGTATGTGTGTTTGGCTACTTTGTATCTATGTGCACACACAAACTTCAAATGAGCTTTTGCTCTATAGGGAAGTGTAAAGTAACATAGGCATCCTCGTTTATTCCTTAACAGCTCTACGAAGCACACATGATTATCCTTTTTCTGAGGCTTTGTATTAGTCAAAGGAACAACTCCAGCTGAGTTAAACAGAAAAGGAATTTATTAGAATACTGTGTTACTTACAGAAACTTCAGGAGGACTCTAGAAAGCCGTTCTGAGGGCTGCTTAGCCAGGAACAGGTGCTTTAAGTCATGCTACAAAACTAGGCCAGAGAGGAGGTCGTCGCCGACTGTGGCCAAGTGCTTAGTGGTATAGCTTGTATTTACAACACTGCTGGCGCTGTTGCATAGGCTCAGTCCTTCTGCAGCTGTTGCTACTTGTGAAATCTCCTAACCCCCCCACCCCCGCCCCGCCTAGTGTCCCTAGCTTCTGATTATTGTTCTAAATAAATGTGGGGCACTAAAACTTCTATATTTATTTTCATTTTGTTTGAAAGGCAGAGAGGCAGAGATTTTCTGTCTGTTGGTTCACTCCCCAAATGCCTCTAACAGTCGGGGCTGGGCCAGGCTGAAGCCCGGAGCTCAGAACTTAATCCTGGTCTCCCATGCACGTGACAGGGATTCAAGTACTTGAGCCGCCATGCCTTCTGCCGTGTTCCAAGGTGTGCATTAGCAGGAAGCTGGAATCAGAAAGCAGAGCCAGAACTCAAACCCAGACACTGATGGGATGTGGGTATCTCAGGCTGTATCTCAAATGCAGAGCCGCCATGCCTTCTGCCGTGTTCCAAGGTGTGCATTAGCAGGAAGCTGGAATCAGAAAGCAGAGCCAGAACTCAAACCCAGACACTGATGGGATGTGGGTATCTCAGGCTGTATCTCAAATGCAGTGCCAAATGCCTGCCCTCAAGCAGATGTTCCTAATTGGTAGGGCCTAATTTATAAGCCTGTGCACTGGTTGTAAGGGTTTCTGGGAAGGATTTTTTTTCAGCTACAAAGCCTCAGAAAAAGGATATCAGGAGTTATAAGGGGGGAATTTTATTGTCTCCAACAGTTTCAGATGCTGGCAGCTTGAAACAGGACCCTTGTCCACTTCTTAATTGGTGGTCCCATGTCACCCTATAAATGGTAGAACCGGGGTATGCTGCTTCTCCCTAAACTCCCAGTTTGAAGCGCTGTATATTCTCCTGTTGAATTTACCTTCCAGAGTGACTTTGAGTTTCTGAGTACACCTGTCATTTTCATCCCTTTGTAATTTGGCTCATGCCCCTTCGTCTTCTGCTGCTCTTACTCTGTTCTCTGATGATGAAATTCTATTCTTATCCTTAAGCCTGTATTGGAAACCTCCCCTGTGAAGGCTTCCCTGATTTCCCAGGCAAAGTTCAGGCTCGCTTCTCTGTTACTTGAGTGCTGTGGTATAACCTTTTTCTGTGGCAGGATGTTTATAGTATGATGGCACCCTCAAGTTTTTTTACTTGATTGTGAGCCCCTTGAGGACAGGCAAGTAACTCTGTTGTTTGTTTGTACCCCAGACTCTGTATAGTGGAACAGTGTTGCTTGAGATGTAGGTCTATTTTAAACCCTTGTGTTTTGTTAGGGGTCGGAGGAGTCTTGAATACATTGAAGGCAGCTTTCCACTCTTAGTGGTCATGTTCCTTAATCTCTGAAACCTTTTCATGTAGGCCTGCTTACAATTTTTGAAGTCATTTGAGTGACACCTAAGATTTTATGACTGTCATCATTAAGTACCTGTATTCCTTACTTTACACTTAATGCCTTTCTGAAAATGAATTTAAAAGTCAAATGTGAAAGTCAAACAATAGACCGAGATGTTATAAAGAGAGATTCCATTTCCAGAAAGCTAGGGAAAAAAGAAATAAGATCGGTAATTATATACTTTACCGCTAAGATAGAGTTTTCAGCAGTTTATTGGCAGCATTTGATATGTGTTCTTTAGATTGCATCTTCTATTTCAGTCAAACAGCTTAATGTTATGAATGTTCCAGCAGAGCTGCAGCTTTTAGGATGCCTCTTATCAATACTTCTCCTTTCCTGGGCCTACTCCTTTTTGTACGTTAATTAGCACCAAGTACAATAAAATACTCCATTTCGCAGACATAGATTGCAGTCGTGCTGAGCCTAAACTCATGGCTGGCAGGCAGCACTCTCATGCTTGGTGTGGTTATTTGTCAGCTGGTATACGGAAGTCTTAATTCTGTGAATGAATTCTTTTGAGTATGTGTGTGGGGTGGTCAGTTTATAATGACAAAGCGTGAATAATTCAAAAGTTGAACTCATATCATCCTATAATATCCTAACCAACTGAGTCCTTGAAATCAGTGATAGAATCAAGACTCTCTGCACAGGCATCTTTGTTAAATTCTCCCAGTCCCCAGTCTGTTCCTCCATTGAAATTCCAAGTCCTTTATCCAAACCTCTGTCAGGCATGCATTACTTTTAAATCTTGTTTGAGTGCCAGTTGGCTGCTTATCCCCTGTATTAGATTGTAAGTTCTGAGCGTTCAGGGGCGGTGTCTTTGTGATCTTTGCCTCTCTCCTAGCACCTAGTACTTGCAAAGAACAGAGGCTCCTTGGAGCCTTTTGAATGTTGATTAATAGAATACAAAATGAATGTCCTCCTTTTATAACCTGCAGGATTACTTATGGCCTGTCATTTCTAGTGGCAAGTTTATGGACTAACTGATGGCTGATCTTTTTTCTCCTAGTGCCTCTGCAGGATATTAGGTGACTCTGGGATAATGGTTGATTCAGTTATTTTAGCTGGATCTTAGAGAAAATTTTTGAAGAGCCAGAGAATCTGCATATTTGGCCATGAGCTTTGTGAATTATTCCTATTATAAACAAATCCGTTTGTATAATATTGTGTATTATTGGTCAGAAATGTTTCTTTGTTTTTGAGGGAAGATGGCTGACAATTTTATAACATCTCATGTAAATTTGGCTTTTTTTTTTCCGGCTGTGTCAGATTCAGGGAGTTTTGTAGCTTCTCGAGCCCGGCGAGAAAAAAAATCAAAGAAAGGACGCCAGGAAGCTTTGGAGAGACTGAAAAAGGCTAAAGCTGGTGAGAAGTATAAATATGAAGTAAGTAACCATTTTTCTCTTTTTTATCCTCCTGTGGTTTACCTAAATCATAGCTTGCATGTAGTCAATATACATATTATTTCAAGCTTCTTATAATAGCGATTTCTTAATAGAATGTGGGCATGAGGTAGATAGACAGATTATGGAAAACACACAACCCTTAAGCTTCCTGTAAGGCACTTTACAGATGATTTTATTTATTTTATTAGTTTTTTTATTTTAAGATTTACTTATTTATTTGAAAGGCAGAGTTACAGAGAAGCAGAGGCAGAGGCAGAGAGAGAGAGATCCCCAGTTGGCTGCAACTGCTGAAGCTGGGCTGAACCGAAGCCAGGAACCAGGAGCTTCCTCCTGGTCTCCCACGCGGGTCCATCCTCTACTGCCTTCCTAGGCCATAGCAGAGAGATAGATCAGAAGTGGAACATCCAGGTCTCGAACTGACACCCGTATAGGATGCTGGCACTGCAGGCAGTGGCTTTACCTGCTATGCCACAGCACCGGACCCTACAGATGATTTTAAAATTCCAAAACGGGTGGGCCTTTTGGCAGTAGTTAAGTCCCTGTCCTGGAGGCCACGTTCCATATCAGTGTGCCTGGTTCAAGTCCCAGCTACTCTGCTTCATTTTAGCTTCTTGGTAATGCACTCCCTGGGAGGCAGCAGGTGATGGCTCAAGTACTTGAGTCCCTGCCACCCACACTTAGGAGACCCAGGTTGAGTTCCAGGCTCCTGGCTTTAGCCTGGTCAGTCTTGCTGTTGTGGGTATCTGAGGAGTGAACCAGCAGATGGGAGATCTCTGTTCTGTCTCTTTATGCTTTCAAAAATAAAGTGAAAGTAAGTGAAAATAAAACATAGAATTCCAAAATGAAAGTAGCTCTATTTTTCCCCTGTTGCTGGCTGCATCTCCAGTAAGTTCCATGTCTTTGTTGAGAGGACTGAGGTCCTTTTACTGGTAAGCTGTTGAGCAGTCTAGCTAAGCACTCCTTCTCGGAGAGCACTGTTCTTAATCTCGTTTGTGGAGGGGGTAGCAGTGGAGACTTGGACCTTACTTCTTCCATGTTCGTCTTATAAGATTGAATGTGTTGGGGCTGGTGCTGTGGTGTAGTGGGTCAAGCTGTTGTCTGCAGTGTCTGCGTCCCATATGGGCACCTGTGTGGGTCCTGGCTGCTCTGCTTCTGGTCTGGCTCTCCGCTGTGGCCTGGGAGGGTAGTGGAGGTTGGCCCAGGTCCTTGGGTCCCTGCACCTGAGTGGGAGACCCGGGGGAAGCTCTTGGATCCTGGCTTCGGGTTCGTGCAGCTCTGGGCATTGCGGCCATCTGGGAAGTGGACCAGTGGATGGAGGACCTCTCTCTCTTTCTGCCTTTGCCTCTTTGTGACTCTACCTTTCAGGTAGATAAATAAATCTTTAAAAAAAAAAAAAGATTGAATGTAGTGTTCATTTTCCTTTACCCACTATTTGTGGCCTGCAGGCAAAAAAAATAGTGATTACTATCTGTACAACATTGTCTAGCTTCACTTTCCTGAGTTTTATTTCACTTCCTCAAGACTAGAAAGTGATTGACACTAGAAAGTAATAACAACCACGAATGGAGGATTAAATTAGATACTATGATTAACGTTTTCCACATGAGATGTCTGATGTCTTAGTGGCAGATTCCAGGAATCGGACTTTAGAATCCAGGAAGTCTGACTTTAGAATATTCATGTATTTTTTTTATAAAAGTTGTTCTTTTCTTCTTTTTAAAGATTTATTTATTTATTTGAAAGAGTTACACAGAAGGAGAGACAGACAAAGAGAGAGAGAGGTCTTCCATCCGCTGATTCATTCCTCAGTTGGCTGCAACAGCCGGAGCTGCGCCGATCTGAAGCCAGGAGCCAGGAGCCTCCTCCGGGTCTCCCATGTGGGTGCAGGGGCTCAAGGACTTGGGCCATCTTCCACTGCTTTCCCAGGTCATAGCAGAGAGCTGGATCGGAAGTGGAGCAGCCGGGACTCAAACAGTGCCCATAGGGGATGCCAGCACTGCAGGTGGCGGCTTTACCTGTTACGCCACAGTGCCAGCCCTAGAATATTCATGTTTAACCATGACTGGTACTGGATTGGGTAGTTACAACAAATAGAAGACGATTCCTGCCACTTGGCACCTTTTGTTCAAATTAAATGAGACTGCCAGATCGTGAAGAGTTGCTACAGGATTGTAGCAGAGATGCTTCTTGCAGGAGTTCCGAGAGGCATTTCAGAGGATGGCACGATGTGGCACATTTTCCTTGAAGCACTAATGTTAATTGTATGGCTCTAAGAGTGCATGCCGAGCTGTAGCAATGCTCTTTATAAAGACAGAGTGAAAATGACTTTTTACTCAAAATGATTGCTTTTGAAATAGTTTCCTGGTGTCGTCTTGGTAGTATACAAGTGAATTACTTAAATGAGAGTCAACAAATGTCTTCAGCCAGCGAAAACAATTGTGCCCTCCCCCAACCCCTCAAACAGACTTGGTCAGTAGAGTAAAATTGGGCTTGTTGAAAGCTTAGTTTGGCAGGGCAGGTAGTTTCTGTTTCTGAATTGTGAAAGGGCAGTGATCCCTGTAGAGTAGGATAAAAAGGAGGTGAAAACTAAGCCTAATCCTGTAATTATTATAAGCCTGTAGGTGTGGCAGGAATCCAGTCAGCCCTGGCCATCAGGCTCTCAAAGCTCAGAGCTTTTTCCTAGAGTCTTAGCTCTTCAGGTAGAAAAAAGCAGTGGAACTCTTGAGGGAAGAAGGAATCTGTTGAAATGTTAAAGAACAATGTATTTGAGAGGCAGAGAGCCAGAGAGAGACCCACAGATAGAGATCTCCCATTCACTGGTCTACTCTCCCGAATGCTCGTAATGGCTGGAGCCGGGCAGGGCTGAACACTGGGAGCTGGGAACTCTGTACAGGTTTCCCGTGGGGGAGACTGGGTCCCACCTGCTTGAGCCGTCACCTGCTGCATCTCAGATTGTGCGTTATTAGGAAGCTGGAATAAGGAGCTGGGTATCTAACCGGGCAGATGCAGACTGCCATTTTCATCGCTAGGCCAAGTTCCTGCCCCAGGGGCGGGCATTTTAATGAGATGGCTGCGAAGATCTCAGTAGCCCACCAGAGTGTCATCTAGTGGGCAGTGGTGTCTGTCCCATTTGTTGCTTTCACTCTGTAGAGGTGGAATGCTTCATTCCTGCCAGTACCTGCTGGCACACTGATACTCCGGCAGTGAGGCAGTTGGTACTGTTGGAAGACTTGCCACTCTTCAGGACTTAAGTCCAGTGCTAATGCAAACAGAAACACTCCAAAACCATTTTCCAGCTTGCTTGTAGAATGTAGGATATATTTGTTTGGCTGATTTGTGCAGGGGGATGGATGAGGGAGATTTTCTTTCTTGAATCACATTTGGTTGGGTGAACAGTTATTAAAATGATTGTCTGTTCACTGAGCATCCATCAGTCAGTGGAGAGGGAGATGGCATGCCTTACGGGTTTGCTAAGAAGAAACCAGTCTTGAAATTACAAGTGAATAATCCCCAAAGCAGCTAATGAAGAGTTGGCTATAATTCAGTTTGTTTTTTATGAAGTTGATGAGTAATTGATGGTATGACAAGTATATTATGCTAATGGAATCATTTAATATCTTATGTTAACACCCACCTAAAAGGAATACTAAGTTAATTGATGTCTATTTAAGGAAAACCCTGTAGTGGTGTTGAATGTCAGAACTCATGATTTGGTTGCAGCTACTCCATCAGGCTGCCATTCCAGTTTCAGTTTGACAATTTTTTCATCAGAATGGTTTTAACGCTTTCACTTCATTTGAAGCTGTTTCTCAAACTTGTATAATGGCAGGTCGAGGACTTCACAAGTGTTTATGAAGAAGTTGATGAAGAACAGTATTCTAAGCTGGTTCAGGCACGCCAGGATGACGACTGGATTGTGGATGATGGTATGTGAGAGGAAATTGCCTTCCAGGCACTGTGCTAGTTGCTTCTTCAAGAATTTCTTGCAGTGAGTTGCTGCTCTGTGTGGGCTGTAATGTACTGTTAGGTTCGTATCTTTTATTTGAATTTTCCTTAACTGAGGAACAATAGGAAGTCTCTTTGTGAATGTTTTGGAGAATTAGGCACATACTTCAGGGTATAGTATAACTTCTCAAAGAAATGGCTTAGCAAGAATTGGGAGGAGCCATGTGCCTGTGGGGCCAACACGGAGCATTTGAAATTAAAGGGCACAGGTTCAAGTTCTGTCTTTCCCCCTTTCCTACTGTATTACTTTGAACAAGTTACTTAATCTCTCTGAGCCTCAAATTTTTTAAAAAATCTGTAATATGAGGATAAGAAAACCACCAGTCTCCCAGAGCTGCTGTGAGGAGTACCAGAAGTTCTAGGTGTGAACAGTGATTGACAGTGGAAAGCACCATGTAAGGACCGGTCTTCATGTTCTTATGTTCCATATAGAAAACTCATTACTTTTGCTTGTAGGGTCTATTTTTTGGGTGTGAATACTGAGTACAGGGAGGAAATGTACACTGTGCCTTTGGCTATATTTCTGTTTCTACTTCTGTAAGTGGCAGACTCAGCTGTGTTGCCAGTTTTTCCTTGTAGACTGGGAAGCCTTTCTGGGCTTGTGGTAGTCTTGGTTCTTTTAATTCTTCTGATAGAGGACAGCTGCTATAAAACATCTTGTATGGTAGACTTTGATTCATCAGCCACATCATTTCACTGGCTCACCTAACGTGGTGCAGTGTATTTTGATTTTGTCTCCACATCTGTTAAGTGGATGCTGTGCCTTATCGGACATTTGTTTGAACAGGATTCTGCCACACTTAAAAATGGCGCAGGCTAGGAGAATATCTGAATGGGTATAAGGATTTCTTTTGGTTATGTCTAAAATACTGCCCACGTTTTAAAATTGATACCAATATTAAATTTTGTTTCTGCAGATGGTATCGGCTATGTGGAAGATGGCCGAGAGATTTTTGATGATGACCTTGAAGATGATACCCTTGATGCCAGTGAGAAAGGTGCCTACATTTTGTGTCCTTTTGAGATTTAAAGAATTGTCTGAAATTTTCAGAGAAGCATTGTTACATGGAAAATTAAACAAAAATAATACCAGAGAATGAAAAGGTTCATGTCTTTATTATCTAGAGTGTAGTCTATTTACTTTGAGCTTTTGAGTCCTTTTGTTGATTTACACTTGGTGATTTTGAGGGCTAAAATTTTAAGTGATATCATCTAATTCCTACTGAAGTGGTATACTTAAAATTTTAGCTCTTTGGTAATTTTACAGTACAGTAACAAAGTTTAGAACTGCTATAATCACCTGGCTTTGTTTAATTGAAATTTAAAATTATGTGAATAAATGCGTCACATTTTCTTGGGTACACAGTCACTGGCAGATTTTTTATTTTGAGTAAACCAAGCCATCACTGCTGCCTCCCAGGGTGTGCATTAGCAGGAAGCTGGAATTGGGAGTAGAGCTGGGACTTGAATCCAGGCATCTTTATGTGGGTTGCTAGTGTCCAACCAGAGGCTTAAACCTTGAACCAAACACCCACCCCCATGACATTCACAGTTTAAAGGGACTGGTGATTTTGTTGAATTCTCACAGTCTGGGATTTGCCTGATTGTCTCTTCATGCCTAATTTTAGATTACGTATTTTTGTAACAGTAAATGTTTTTTGTAAGTGTTTTGGCAAAATCTGTAGTATAGATGAAGTTATGACCTTCCCATTGATCATTTCAGGGGCATATCATAATGTCCGTCATGCCATTTGTATTTATATTAAGATGTTGCGTCCGGCGCCGTGGCTCATTAGGCTAATCCTCTGCCTTGCGGCACCGGCACACTGGGTTCTAGTCCCGGTCGGGGCGCCGGATTCTGTCCCGGTTGCCCCTCTTCCAGTCCCGGTCGGGGCGCCGGATTCTGTCCCGGTTGCCCCTCTTCCAGGCCAGCTCTCTGCTGTGGCCCGGGAGTGCAGTGGAGGATGGCCCGAGTGCTTGGGCCCTGCACCCGCATGGGAGACCAGGAGAAGCACCTGGCTCCTGCCTTCGGATCAGCGCAGTGCACCGGCCGCAGCACGCCAGCCACAGCGGCCATTGGAGGGTGAACCAACAGCAAAGGAAGAACTTTCTCTCTGTCTCTCTCTCTCTCTCACTGTCCACTCTGCCTGTCAAAAAAAAAAAATGTTGCTTGACAGATTTCTTTCTTAAAAAGTTGACATTTCCCTCTTTGTAATTAATGCAAATAAGGGATGGTGATTAGAGGCCATGTGTATATCCCATTTCCCCATAAATGCTTACCCAGGGCTTTCAGCATCTATTGATGCTCTCTTTCTCTCTCTCTCTCTCTCTCTCTCTCTCTCTCTCTCTCTCTTTAAATTTATTTGTTATTTATTTGGAAGACAGAGTCACAGAGAGAGGTAGAGACAGAAAGAGAGAGAGAGGTCTTCCATCCACTGGTTCATTCCCCAAATGGCTGCAACGGCTGGAGCTGAGCCGATCAGGAGTCAGGAGCTTCCTCCAGGTCTCCCACATGGGTGCAGGGGCCCAAGGACTTGGGCCATCCTCCACCGCTCTCTCAGGCCAAAGCAGAGAGCTGGATCAGCAGAGGAGCAGCTGGGACCAGAACCGGCGCCCACGTGGGATACTGGTGCTTCAGGCCAGGGCTTTAACCCGCTGTGCCACAGTGCCAGCTCCTCTCTTTTCTCCTTTTAAAAATTATTGCTTCAAGCTCATGGATTTCTAGAAAATTTACTGTTGATATTCAGTATCCAATCTGTCTCTATCTTACTGCCTTTCAAGTAAAAATAAATAAAAATTCTAGTGCCTATTATCATTTTCTCTTTTTTAAAAAAATATTTTTTAGTTAAAAGTCAGAGTTACAGAGAGAGGAGAGACAGGGACAGACAGAGACAGAGAGACAGAGAGAGAAGATCAGTTTTCCATTTGCTTGTTTATTCCCCAATGGCTGCAATGGCCAGAGTTGGGACAGGCTGAAGCCAGGAGTCAGGAGCTTCATCAGGGTCTCTCACATGGGTACAGGGACCTGAGAACTTGGGCCATCTTCTGCTGCTTTCCCAGGTACATTAACAGGGAGCTGGATTGGAAGCAGAGCAGCTAGGACTTGAACTGGTGCCTATCTGGGATGCTAGTGGTGCAGGCGGTGGCTTAACTTGTGCAACAGTGCTGGCCCCTGGTTTTTTTTTTTTATGTTCAAATTATAGTTTTAGTCAGTGGGAACCCTTTTGTGCTGGTTCTTTCATCTTTTTTTGACATGACCCCTTTAGTTTTTTAGCATTTCATTGCTTTCTGGACCAATAAAAGGAAAACATTCCAGAATTGCTTTGTACTCTTGTCCAAGATTTGGGATCAACCAATTCTCCCAAGAATCCTGGTTCTTTTTTATGGGGAATGGCATTCACATCTAGGGATAGCTGTGCCCCTTCCTACTGGGGCATAATGGCTTTTAGACCCTTTCAATGAATAGAGTTAGGAAGTTATATGAGGGTGCTTCAAAACTTGACAGAATGGAATTAAAAGGTAAGTTTATTTTGATGCAGAATTTTGAAATCCACTCATAGGTTTTTCATTATACACGTTTTCCATGAACTTTTTGAGGACGATCATATGTATATCATGAATTCATACTGATGTATTTGATTGAAATCCAGATACCACTGACTTTTTCCTCTTCCCAATTCTCCACTTAGGTCTACTTTCATTCTCAATGAGAAGCCTTCTGTAATGTACTCAGAATAATTTTAGAATTACTGGATTACCTCTACCAAAAATCATTCCAAGAGTTTTTGGTTTCTTTCAGGGTTATTTGCTCTTTTCATATATTTTGCCAAGGGTCTATTCTCAGAGTGTTGTGCAGATGATGGCTTTATCCACCACAGTGCCAGCCCTCCCATACCTATTATGTAGTCTCTCCCCAGTCTGCCTTCCTGGCAACAATTAATCTAATTTCTTTCTTTTTTCTTTAAATATTTATTTATTTATTTGAAGGGCAGAGTTATAGAGAGGCGTTGGGGGGGGGGTTCCTTCATATGCTGGTTCACTCCCCAGATGGCTGCAATGGCGAAAGCTGCACAAATCCGAAGCTAGGAGCCAGGAGCTTCTTCCAGGTCTCCCACACGGGTTCAGGGGCCCAAGCACTTGGGCCATCATCTTCCACTGTTTTCCCAGGCTGTAGCAGAGAGCTGTATCAGAAGTGGAGCTGCTGGGACTCGAACCGGCACTCATATGGGATGCCAGCACTGCAGGTGGGGGCTTTACCTGCCATGCCACAGTGCTGGCCCGTAATCTGCTTTCTGTCTCTGTAGATTTCCCTGTTCTGGATGTTTCATAAAAAAGGAATTTTATAATAGATGGTCATTGTGACTGGCTTTCATTTAGCATAATATTTTCTTTTTTAAATAAGTTTTATTTATTTATTTGAGAGGTAGAGTTACAGAGAGATGGAGAGAAAGGTCTTCCATCTGCTGGTTCACTCTCCAAATGGCTGCAATGACTGGAGCTGGACTGATTTGAAGCCAAGAGCCAGGAGCTTCTTCTGGGTCTCCCACACTATTGCAGGGCCCAAGTCTGTTTTCTCAAGCCATAGCAGAGAGCTGGATTGGAAGAGGAGTAGCTGGGACACGAACGGGCATCCATATGGGATGTCAGCTCTGCAGGCGGAGGCTTAGCCTACTATGCCACAGCACCAACCCCAATTAAGATTTATTTGAAAGAGTGAGAGGGTGACATGGATCTTCCATTCATTGGTTCACTTTTTAACAGCTGGGGCTGGGCCAGGCTGAAGCCAGGAGCTTGGAACTCATCCCTCGTGTCTGACGTGGGCTGCTAGGGCCCAGGCCCTTGGGCCATCTTCCATTCCTTTCCCAGGCTTGTTAGCTGAGAGTTAGGTTGGAAGCGGAGCAGTGCGGACTCAGACTGGCTCTCGTATGGGATTCTGGCATCACAGGTGGCGGCTTAACTAGCTGTGCCACAGTGCTGTCCCCCTCCCACCTTTTGGTTATTGTGCATGGTGTTGATATGAACATTTGTGTACAAGTTTTTGTTTGAATAACTGTTTTGTGGTATGTACCCAGGAGAATTGTTTGTATGTATTTATATTTCCTTTTCTTTCTTACCCAAAAGATAATGTCTGTAGATAGTCTTGTACTTTGCTTTTTTTTACTTACCAAGATAGCCTAAAAATCAGTGCATATTAGTGCTTAGAGATCTTCCTTTCTTTTATATATATAGTTTTCCATTGTATAGAGGTACTGTAATTTATTCAAATGGTTTCCTTGGATGGGCGTTTATATTTCCAATAATTTGCTGGCTTAAAGAGTAAAATGCTTGTCAAATTTTATTAGATATTCCAAATTCTTCTTTATAAAGTGGTCCTATTTTACACTCCCACAAATGACATATGAATGTCTGTTTCTCTATAGCTTTGCTAACAGAATCTGTTGTCAAACTTTTGATTTTTTGCCACTTTGGTATGTGAGAAGTGGTATTTCAGTGTATTTTTGTTTGCATTTCTTTTACACATGGAGTTGAGCACCTTTTCATGAGATTAATAACTGTTTATGTATGTTCAAGCACTTGGAGCATTTTCTTTTTTTTGAAAGGCAGAGTTAGACAGTGAGAGAGAGAGAGACAGAGACAAAGGTTTTCCTTCCGTTGGTTCACCCCCTAAATGGCCGCTACTGCTGGCATGCTGCGCCGATCCGAAGCCAGGAGCCAGGTACTTCCTCCTGGTCTCCCATGCGGGCTTGGGCCATCCTCCACTGCCTTCCTGGGCCACAGCAGAGAGCTGGACTGGAAGAGGAGCAACTGGGACAGAATCTGGCACCCCAACTGGGACTAGAACCAGCGGTGCCAGTGCCGCAGGCAGAGGATTAGCCTAGTGAGCCGTGGCGCTGGCCAGAGCATTTTCATTTTTAAGGATTTTGATATGTGATTCATATGGCATTTATGTTGATTTACTTCCTTACAAATGGCTATATAACACTAATTATTATAAAATCCATCTTTTTCCCAGTGATACAAGATGCCATGTTTATTATTTACTAGATTTCCATAAGTAGTTAGGTCTTTCTCTGGACATATTTTCTGTTTCATCTTGTCTCTGCATGTGTTTGTACCATACTATCTTATTCAGTGGAGGTTTTTTTTTTTGAGATCAATATTCTGAAATGAATTAGAATTTAAAACTGACAGTATTAGAAAACTTTGTAGGTGATTTACACATGGCCATAAGAGAGAATATATGGTGAAAGTTGGCCTTTAATGAACAAGTGTTTCTGTGTTGTTTTGTGTTGAGATGGCATGTTGTGTGCATCTGGTTGCTGTTATTCATAGGAAGAAGTCAGAATATTCATAACTGGCTATCATTTCTTTATTGTTGAGTTGTCCTGTTAGATTCAGTATAGAGCTACATAGATAACCAAATGAAGGATACTACTAGGTTCATCTCTTAATTTCAGATTAGCTTTAACTTTTTTTAATTCCAAACAAACTTAATCCACTACTTTTTTAAAGTTTTAAGTTTATTTGAGAAGCTGGAGAAGGAAGGAAGAGGGAGGTATGGAGAGAAGGAGGGAGGGAAAACGCATGCGTTAGGGTAAGCACTCCTATTTGCTGGTTTAATCCCTAAATGGCAACTGGCAAGGCAAAGTCCAGAAGCATGGAACTGGAATCCATGTCTCCCATATGGGCGGGCCTTCCATGTGGGTTGTAGAATCACTGAGCCATCAGTGCTGCCTCACCAGGATCTGCTTTAGCAAGGGGCTGTATCCCAGTATTGAACCTGAATATTCCATTGTAGATTGGGGGAATCTTAACTGCTAGGCTAAGTACTACCTGTGCGTCTACTTGCAAAAAATTTTTAAATTTATACTAACAGTAGCAATTAAATAGTCACAGTTAACTCATCCTGATGTTTGACTGGTATTTCATCAATTTTTGTTATGATATTTGGTTCGGATTTTCTTGAAATAAGCACACTGAAAAGATTCTTACTGTGTACCTTGTATAAAATCTCAGAGAATTTTGAATTATTTTTTTAGAAGATTTATTTATTTATTTATTTGAAAGTGTTAAGCCGGCGCCGCGGCTCACTAGGCTAATCCTCCGCCTAGCGGCACCGGCACACCGGGTTCTAGTCCGGTCGGGGCGCCGGATTCTGTCCCGGTTGCCCCTCTTCCAGGCCAGCCCTCTGCTGTGGCCCGGGAGTGCAGTGGAGGATGGCCCAAGTGCTTGGGCCCTGCACCCCATGGGAGACCAGGAAAAGCACCTGGCTCCTGGCTCCTGCCATCGGATCAGCGCGGTGCGCCGGCCGCAGCGCGCCGGCCGCGGCAGCTATTGGAGGGTGAACCAACGGCAAAAGGAAGACCTTTCTCTCTGTCTCTCTCTCTCACTGTCCACTCTGCCTGTCAAAAAAAAAAAAAAAAAGAAAAGAAAGCGTTACAGAGAAGCAGAGGTAGAGAGAGAGATCTTGCATCTGCTGGTTCACTCCCCAAATGGCCATAATAGCCAGAACTGGGTTGATCTAAAGCCAGGAACCAGGAGATTCTTCCAGGTCTCCCATGCAGGTACACAAGGGCCCAGGCACTTGGACCATCTTGTACTGCTTTCCCAGGCCATAGCAGAGAGCTGGATTAGAAATGGAGCAGCTGAGGGCCGGCGCCGCGGCTCAATAGGCTAATCCTCCACCTAGCGGCACCAGCACACCGGGTTCTAGTCCCGGTCGGGGCGCTGGGTTCTAGTCCCGGTCGGGGCGCCGGGTTCTGTCCCGGTTGCCCCTCTTCCAGGCCAGCTCTCTGCTGTGGCCCAAGTGTGCAGTGGAGGATGGCCCAGGTGCTTGGGCCCTGCACCCCATGGGAGACCAGGAGAAGCACCTGGCTCCTGCCTTCAGATCAGCGCAGTGCGCTGGCCGCAGCATGGCGGCCATTGGAGGGTGAACCAACAGCAAAGGAAGACCTTTCTCTCTGTCTTTCTTTTCTCTCTCACTGTCCACTCTGCCTGTCAAAAAAAAGAAAAAAGAAATGGAGCAGCTGGGTCTCGAACCAGCGCCTATATGGGATGCTGGCACTACAGGCAGTGGCTTTACCCACTATGCCGCAGCACTGGCCCTTAATTTTGAATTCTTAGCATTTTTCTTGTGAGTTCTTCATCTGCAAAGCAGGTGACTGGGCTTTTAGTTATCCATTTTGATTTTTGCTGGTACATGTTTCTAAATAACTTATTCCTATAGGAAAGGATGTTAAAATACACAGCAAAGGCAAGAGGAATGTAAAGAAGCCTTCAGTGACAAAACCAAACAATATCAAGACCATGCTCATTGCTGGTGCTGGAAAGAAAACCGCAGATGTGAGTTTTGTAGTTTCTTTATCATTTGTCTTTTCCTTTGCGAAGTGAATTTCATATTTGATTATACAGATAGTAGATGCCTAAGAAATATTTGAGTAACATTTCCCCAATTTCACGTACTAAGTCAAATGTAGATTTCAAATGAATGTAGGTACCTCAGTGGTTGAAACATCGGAGACAGAAAATGAAACTGAACAGGAAAGTTAAATTGTTTAATTTTAGAGGTTAGCAAGAAGATCATGGAATGAGGATAAAAACAAAAAATGGAAGGTATAGATTATGATTTATGTATACACATATGGTTTTTAAAATCTGTGAGTGGTAGAGTAGCAGTCAGTGAGGAATGAAGAGGCAAGGACTGATTGGTTAGATTCTTTCTTTCATACACATGTGTATGGTCTGAGGTAAACATTTAGTGTTTGGCTTTCTCATTTTACTTTGCCTTATAATTTCTAGAAAGCTGTAGACTTGTCCAAGGATGATCTACTTGGGGACATCCTACAGGATCTGAACACTGAGGTAAGTGAGTCTCTGGGAATTGTAAAATATGTGGGGGTCGTAAGCTGAAGAAACAATTACATGATTGGGGCCGGTGTTGCGGAGCAGCATGTTGAGCTACTGCCTGTGATGTTGGAGTGCCAGTTTGAGCCCTGGCTGCTTCACTTATGTTCCTGCCCCCTGCTAATGCTCCTGGGAAAGCAGCAGAAATCGGCCCAGTTATATGGGCCCCTGGCACCCACGTTGGAGACCTGGATTGAGTTCTACACTCCTTGTTTTGGCCTGGTCCAGCCCTAGCCATTGCAGCCATTTAGGGAGTGAGCCATCAGATGGAGGATCTCTCTCTCTCTCGTTCTCTCTTCCCTCGCTCCTTCCTTCTCTCCCTACCCCCCTTCCATCTCCTCTCTGCTTACCCTCTCTTTCCCTCTTTCCCTCTGTGTGTGTGTGTGTGTGTGTGTGTGTGTGTCTCTGTCTCCATCTCCCTCTTTCTGTAGCTCTGCCTTTCAAATAAATAAATCAATCATTAAAAAAAATAAACAGTTTAGTAATTTTACCAAACAGAATTGCTGGAATTAAAAAAAAAAGCAGATACTGCCACCACCAATGGAAATGCACAAAAATTAAAAACAAGTCCTTCAGATTGGTTTCTTTTCCTCAGTTTAGGTGAGAAGTTTCCAGCTGTTACAGCTATGTGATTTTGTAGATAAAGCTGTGTGGGTGTGTTTGACGTAGGAATACATCCAGGAGTCAGTTCTCTGAGTGCTCACTGCTTGTGTTTGGTTGCTGTAATGTATGTTCCCTAAATAGATTGAAACCTGTCAATCTGCACAATCAGGCGTGAGATCCTCATCTGAAATGCTGAGTGGGAGTGAGGGAAGAGCCAGTGAGCCATCCCTGGGAGAGCTCGAGTAGGCCCAGTGGCACTGTGAATTTGAAATTTGGCTGTTTCCCGTAAAGACATCTCTTTTTCAGAGGTGTACTACTTTCTACATGACCATTGACTAGAAACACTAATATTTACATCATGGAGTTCTAGCTGGACAGTTTTTAAATGTAATAATCTGGAAGGATAAGTGAAAGACTATGTTAAATTTTAAAAAGGAGAAAATGGTGGGGGGGGATTCAATATCTGTTCTGTTTTTCTAGTAATTTCTATAGCATTGTTGCTATAGTAACCACCATGCGTGAACGTAGATTGGGGGGGACAGGTAGGGGGAAAAATGCTTTACTTACTAGGCTTTGATGAGTGAAGAAATACACTTTCTCTATCATGCGGTAAACCAAGCGTGGCAGTGAATGTCTGTCTTACTCATCCTGTTAGACACCTCAGATAACTCCACCACCTGTAATAATACCAAAGAAGAAAAGATCCCTTGGAGCGTCGCTGAATCCTTTTTCTGTGCGTCCCTCCAAGGTAAAGCATGTTGAAATACTTTCAGTCTGGATTTATAATATTGCTTATATTTATTTCATTGCTTTTCTCAGGGAAATGCCTTTGAATTTGTTTTTTATTTTTGTTTTAAATTAGGACTGCCATTCAGTGTATAGTTTCATGTATCTCAAAAATAGCGTGTGCCTGCTTTTTTTTCATAGTAAATTTTGTAGTAGCTAGTATGTGTTTATTATAGGTATTACAGCTGTGCTAAATGCCATAATTTTCCTCCTGGAAACAAGTATTTTTTTGTAAACCTGGGTAACAGTAAAATAATTGAAGCTGTTACATTAATGATACATAAAATCTTTTTATAAATGGGAGCTGTCATTATCTGTGGTCAGGGTAGGACAGTTGCATATTTTTAGCATGCAGGTCTAACTGACTAAACGTTTAAAAACATTCACAGGCAGTTCCTTCAGGAAAATCTGCTTCCCCTGTCGTCGGGAAGGTGCCTCCATTAACTCCTGCTCCTCATAAACGTGCCGAGTTTGTTGGTAAGTCCGAAGTACAAGCGCGTTGAGCCATTGCTGTCAGAAATGGAGGTCCCGGGATAGAGGAAGTGGAGGTGATTTCCAGGGTATTGTGATGGCAAGTTTAAATGTGAAAGATTTGAATTCCTAGCCGTAAAAGTGAAAAATACCCAATTTGGAAATTGAAGAGAAATTTGAGCAGTGTAAGACAAGGGGGTAGGCTGCCATTTTGTTGCTGGGGAAGCCTTTTTTGTGCCCCATGATGGGAATGTATAATGATGCCTACAGGAGATGTGGTGCAGGGAGAGCCACGAGAAGATGAGCAGGAGCCAGGGGCAATGGAGTTTGAAGATGGCGACTTTGATGAGCCCATGGAGTCCGAGGAGGTGGACATAGAGCCTGTTGCTGCCAAGACATGGGCGCAAGAGAGTGAGCCAGCAGAGGCAGTGCAAGACGTGGCAGATCCTGGCAGAGAGAGCACGTCTTACTTGTAAGAGTGTTTTATGACTTTTCTGGCAAATAGCACCATAAGTAGTCTGTCGGATTGTTGAGAGGTTTTTGAAAATGTGATTTTTGCAGAGGAAGTTTCCTGCCAGATGTCTCCTGTTGGGACATTGATCAGGAAGATGACAGCAGTTTGTCAGCTCAGGAAGTGGAAGTTCATGTGGATTCCAGTCACCTCCCGTTGGTAAAAGGGGCAGATGAAGAACAAGTGTTCCAGTTTTATTGGCTGGATGCTTATGAAGATCAGTACAACCAACCAGGTAATCATACATGAGATTACCATATGCCTTTAACCCAGACCGGCTCCATTAAATACTGTAGTGGTTATAACTGGCACAGGCTCTGTCCTTTCTTGCTTGCATCTTAGGAGAGTAGTACTCATTCGTTGTGAAGTGTGTGAGCCACCCTGATGGAGAGCAGCTGTGATGTGAATAATCCTTCAGGATTCTTATTCCAAAAAATGAGTTAGCTCTACGTGGTTTTTATAGTTCACCACTGATGTCTTTGAAGTTATAGGAATGAACTTTAAATGGAATCAGTCACTAGTTTGTGTATTTTTTTAAAGATTTTATTTATTTATTTGAGAGGTAGAGTTACAGACAGTGAGAGGAAGAGACAGAGAGAAAGGTCTTCCTTCCATTGGTTCATTCCCCAAATGGCCGCAATGGCTGGAGCTGCGCTGATCTGAAGCCAGGAACTTCTTCTCAGTCTCCCACATGGGTGCAGGGGCCCAAGGACTTGGGCCATCTTCTACTGCTTTCCCAGGCTATAGCAGAGAGCTGGATCCGAAGAGGAGCAGCCAGGACTAGAACTGGTGCCCATATGGGATGCCAGCAGCGCAGGCGGAGGATTAACCTGTGCCACAGCACCGGCCCCTAATTTGTATCTTTATTTGGAAAATTTGAACACCTGTTGTGTGGCAGGCACTGAGATGAGGTGAACAAGCTGGACAAATTCCCTACAATGTCACGGAGCTTACATTGTGTTAGGGTGGGAATGGGTGGTGGAAACTTAGCAGTAAATAAGATAAAGTGGTAAATGATGTAAAGGAAACTAGGGGATGGCCAGGGAAGGCTTATCTGAGGAGAGGCCCCTCGACTGACATTTGAGGCTCTTGCAGAGCTGAGGAAAGGGCATTTCAGCTTGGCGAACCTGTACGTGCAGAGGCCTGGCACAGGGAAGGAGAAGGCCTGTGTGGTTGTAGCATAGTAATAGCGAAGTGACAACATTGGTATAGCATGAATTTGGAGATAAAGGCAAAGGCCAGATAATGAAGGACCTTGAAAGCGTATCAGCGAGTTTAAATCTTATTCAAAGAGCAGCAGGGAGACACTGGAGGGTTTTTAGTGCAGGGGTGATGGTCACATACTTAGTTAGGCTTACATTTTAACAGGACTGTGCGGGTTTGTGTGGAGTGTAGTGCATGTACGCATATGTGAGCAGGGTTTGGGCCGGAGTGGGGTGGTGGAGGAGTGTGGAAACCTTGGAGGTGTGTCAGTCTAGGGCATGGGTGCTAGTTACTTGGGCCCTGGTGACTGGGGAGGAGGAGAGAAGTGAAGACATTTCACATGCATTTTGACACAAAGTTGTTGATGAATATGATGGGGGGGGAGTGTTGACAAAAAGAATCAAAAGTAATTCTCAAGTCATCCAAATTCTTGACTGGAACAAAACTAGGCTTCCTTATATGCCTCTCTGAGCCCTTCTTCATTGTGGGGACTACACTTGACAAGTTTTTTCAGATTAATATAAAATACGGTATAGAGAGTTACGGCTTGCTCGTAGTTGTGTCCCCTTTTGGATCTGCGTCTGTATATGCGAAGTGTGTTTTTTCAAGTAGTTTGCTAGAAACTGCTTGCAGTGGAAACAGAGGGAGTACCTAAGGTGTCCATAAAGCAAGTATATGACTAAGAAGAGTGAATATGAACTGGAAGACCTGAAGGCCAAAGTTATCTTCAGGACGGTCAGATGGTGATCGTACCAGGAAACAGGAAACATGTTAATGGTGGGGGAGGACAGAAGCATCGCTATAAGCTGTGCACTAAAGTAGCACACTGCCAAGTCTTAGTTTCTTGGGTAAAGATATCAACAGTTTTAGAAGTTTTAGCTAGGGTGAGGTGATTGGATTCGACCCTGTCATCTCTTTGATTACTTCTTATTCTCTCCTGGAAGGTATGCTGCAGGTATGATTCCATGGGGCTGAGCAAATGATTTCCCATCCATTGCTGAACCTCGGGGCTGCCCTGTTATACAAGCTCGGGAAACGACTTGTTCACATGACCACCCTGGAGGTGTGCACATGCTGGGCCTGCTCTTGCCAGTTCTAGTGCCTGTACTTTGGTGTATCTGCTCAGTACCTTATTTTATTCCCTGTGTTGGTTAATGGTCCCATCAAAGCCATCCTTGAGTCTCTGCCTTTCCTTACTTTTCCAATCTTTTTGGTTTTCTGCTCTTAAAATAGACACCCTGTCTTCTCTTTCCCCTCATAACCACCAGCCTTGATCTCTTGCCTACTAAAATCATTGCACCTACCTGCTAATTGATCTCTCAGCCATCCTTGTCCATGTTACTGTTAGAGTGATTGATCAGAAGGGAACTCTGCCCATGTCATTTCCACATTGGAGGAAATCCTCAGCGACTGCTGCCTACAACAGAAAATCCATGCTGCTCAGTAAGGCTTCTGATGCCTGCCTTGTATGAATTCTGTGCCCTAGGAATTTGGTTCCCTATATTTGTATGAACCTTGCTGCCTTTATACCTAGTGTCCCTTTACTCCTAGTGTTTATTGTCAGAAGTGCCCTCATCTGACTCATTCTTCACAGTGTAGGCCAAGTGTCATCTCCTAAACCTCCTATGGGCCTCAGAGCCTCCCTGCGACCCCATCATACCCTTTCCATTGTAGTGTTTGTCATTTTATTGTGGAATGATCTCAATCTGTGTTTCCTTTCCTCCAAAGCCTTTAAGCTCCTGGAGGATTGTAATCTTTCATTTCCAGCATTCAGCACAATACCAGGGACATAGTAGGTATCCAATATATTATTATATAGCATAGCAGGTATTCAGTAACTAAGCTATTTATTGAATAAACCGCACAGTGGTCAGCTATCCTGCAGATGCACGTGAAAGGTTTCAGAGTACTAGAGGTGTATTTGCTGCTACTGAGTTTGCCTCTTGAAGCCTTGTAGCAGTGTAGGGTAATGCGTAATGCCGTAGTGTGTAGCGGGCTCTCCCCAGTGTAACTATACCTGTAAGCATCAGATTGCCAGTGTCTGTTCCTGAGGATCAGAATGTTAAGAAACAACAATCTTTCTTTCCTTTGTGAAAATGACTGTATTATTTCTGTGTTTGGTTTACTGGTTGATACTCGTGTTGGTAAACAGTGCTGTTTTGTAGAGCTGCACTGTCCACTATGGTAGCCATTGGCCATCCATTACCCTTTAAATTTAAATGATTTAAAATGGAAGAAATTTAAAATTCAGTTTCTCAGCCATAGCTACATATCTGGGGCTCAGTGGCCACAGTGTGGCCAGTTGGTACCATACTGGATGGCCCAGAAACAGAACAATTCTGCCATCACAGGAATTTCTGGTGGTCAGTGGTGGCCTGCAGTGGTAAGTGTTAGAGGTTAAGAGTGCAGCACTGAAGCACAGCTGTATTTGCAGAGCAACCAATTTAGGATATGTGTTGTTGAACTCAATGTGCTGACCGTAGTCATTGATAGACTTTTTCAACCAATATTGGGAAAAATTTTCCATTAATTCTCCTTTTTTTTTTTTTCACTTAAAAGAGGTAGTAATCTGTTACTGGCCCATCATCCAGAAGCTAAGGTAAAATGAAATTTCTAAGTCAGGAGAAGGCCTCAGAGGTCTTCCAGTCTAGTTGCTCACTTAGGAGGAAATGGAGACTAAAAGATAAAATCGAGGGAATGAGCTCTGGGCTTCTCCCCCTCTATCCATTCTACTGTTTCACGGTACTTCTCAAGTTGTATCCTTTGCTCTGGCACGACTTTTCTGTTTTTTGATGCCAGTGGGTTAAATAAGCATAAAAAAAGTCCTTTAATCTCAGAGTTGAACAGTTTCATCGTGACAGCAGGTAGTAAAATCAATGCTGCTAATAAAAACGAAGTACTCCCAAAGATCCTGGTATTGTTTCTCACTTTCTGACAGATTCTCAGTCAGTCAGTTGTTGCTGAATGGTCCATAATTATGAAAAGAATCTAACTCTTTGCATATGGGAAGATATCCTGTCTTCATTATGACTTTTTCAAGGTTGAATAATCCTGACTGCACCTGGTTTCAGCTAGTAACTTTGGGGGGAGTGTAATCTTTGTTTACCATGATCTTTTTGTGGCAAATGAGGCATAAACAGTGTCAAATGTGTTGCATGAAGTGTGATATTAGTCTGACTGTAAAATGAGCTATTTGAATCTTTGAATCCAATATTAGTGCCTTTATTTTTCTTTGCATGGAATTTTGTTTTTTCATCTTTAACTGTTGGAAGGATGACTTTTAATTTTCTGAGCTACTGTGATTTTTTTCCCCTTTCTTAATGATCCCCACAGTCCTCCCTTTCCTTTCCCTTCCCCCCTCCGCCTCTTCCCCCTCCCAGTTGAAAAACACACAACTGTTAGAAGAATTTTAATCATTTGCAGAAATGAAAATTCTTAGGTGGTTTTATTTCTCCCAGAACAAGTGACAAAAGGAAACACTGATGAGCTGTCTTGTGAAACTGGGGTAATTGGCTTTGTGAACAGTAGCCTTCGCGTGTGCCAGATTTTCTTAGTATCTCGGATAAACAGCTGCGTTGAGTGGCTATGTTGATCACTGTTGTCTAATTCATGGAGCCCTGGATTTGCACGGTGACCTATCTCTTGGGTTGAGTATTAAATCATTGAAGTCCTTTCTTGATGGCCTATTTTCATGTACAATGACTTGATACCTCCAAAAGCATGTTTTTACTTTTAGTATACTTGCTTAGGTATCTCAAATGAGTGCTTACTGATTTGATTTTGAAATCAATTGTTAAATTGAATTAGATGAGAAAGAACTTTATGAATGCTACCTAGCCAGATATTCCAAGTAGCGTATGAGGTAGAAAGGGTGAAAGAGGAGATAATAGTAGAAATCTATTAGGAGATATTTATTACATGGAACATGAGATATGCAATGAATTATGTTTTTCTCAAGCACATTGTTATATATAGAAAATGACTAACATACCCCGTAATTATCCTGATGCAGGAATACTAGTTTTTATCAGTAAATACTAATGCTAAAAAAAATGAAAATTCTCAGATTCATAAGTTCTCACAAGAGGCTTAAATATGAGATGAGATTTGTTGGAGAATAGTTTGTTTTGTTTCTTTTAATCTGGGTAATCCTCTTTCGTTACATAGGGAACATGGTTATATCAAGTTCAAGAAATATTCTGTCCCCTGTCCTTCCAGTGGTCACAGATTGTATTGTTGTAATAGTGTAGGGTGGCAGAAATGCTGAGTAGAGAACTGGCTGGTCTTGGAGTGTGGGCAGTAGATAGAAATTCGCTGTCAGAATGAGTTATCATGAACATATAAATGTGTGGAGACGTTCTGTGAGTCTTTCATATTGCCCCTTTAATGTAATGTAATTGAAATACTCCTTTTCTCATGGATTTTCCTGCTTCTTTAGGTGTGGTATTTCTGTTTGGCAAGGTTTGGATTGAATCAGCCAAAACCCACGTGAGCTGTTGTGTTACAGTGAAAAACATTGAGAGAACACTCTATTTCCTTCCCCGTGAAATGGTAAAACTTACTGATCAGCCTTTTGTTCTTGGTAGTTGTATCTGTCACTCATTGTGTGTTCTGCCACTAATCCTGTGCTGGAACAGCGTATGCGTTCTCCATAGCTCTGATGCATATTTCTTCTTGATTGCTTAGTGACCACTGATTGTCAGCATCTCTGTTAGAGGTTTGGAAAAGTGGGCAAAGTAGGACTCACTTTTTTATCTTGGTAGAGTGTACAGATGTCTGAGTTTTAGTGTGTCTAATGCTGTCTTTTCCCTCACCCCTCATTTCCATAATAATTGGGGTCGGTACCATAAAGCTTCAAAATGTGACATGGTGTTTGGTCCAGTTTTCATGCCTTTGCTGCACAGGCAGCAGTAACACTTTGCATGGCCGTTTAACAAGGTCAGTTCCATTTGCTCCTTCACTTCTGTTGAAGCTTAACATCCCTGATCCTGTCCCAGACTCAGCCCTAGTTCTCCCTCTGTTGAATTGTGGAGCTCTTGGTCATCTTTACTTCTGGTTCCCTTTTCTAATGTCTTTGGGAGAATTGGGCATTGGGTGTAGTACATTTTTGGGGTCTGTGTGTTTGAACTCATGTTACACTGTTCGGTTAGTGTTAAATGTTTAAATGCATGTGGATGAAAATTGATTTAGACTTGAATTTTTGGTTGTTGAGAAGATCTTATGTACAAACATCTTTTCCCCTCTATCCCTCTCTCCATGGGAGAACAGAAAATGGATCTAAATACAGAGAAAGAAACAGGAACTTCAGTTACCATGAAGGATGTTTATGATGAGTTTGATGAGAAAATAGCAACAAAATACAGAATCATGAAATTCAAGTCCAAGGTTAGTATTTGGTGATTAATTTTTTTCAGCTCTATTTGTTCATTTTCTGATTTAGCAAATGGTTACTGTCTATGTGCTTTGTGCACAATGCCTTCTGCATGGTTATAATACATTGAGTGAAAATTTCATAGATATGAATGTAAAAATAGTGTTAGATTCATACAATTCTTTATAGTGCTTAAAAAAAAACATTAATTTGCATGAAAGATAACTCATAGCAAATTAGTTGTCTCCAGTGCTTGTAACATATTTTGTGCTTTTATTCTGAAGCAGAGGAGAAACTGTTCTAATCTTGTTTGTATTATTGGTTAGAAGATTAAGTAAGGTTTTGTCTTTAAAAATCAGGGACCAAGATGCTGTATCTAATAGAATGAGAATCTTATTCATGTGATTCATATGATAAATTATCTTGATTTCATTGAGATGTTGATGCCTTTGGGAATAATTGTGGGGACTGAAACCATTTTTTTTTTTTAAGATTTATTTATTTGTTTGAAAGCAGAGTTACACAGAGAGAGGAGGAGAGGCATAGAGAGGCCTTCCATCTGCTGCTTTACTTTCCAATTGGCCTCAATGGCCAGAGCTGCACCGATCCGAAGCCAGGAGCTTCCTCCGGGTCTTGCTCTGCGGGTACAGGGGCCCAAGGACTTGGGCCATTTTCTACTGCTTTCCCAGGCCACAGCAGAGAGCTGGATAGGAAGTGGAGCAGCTGGGACTTGAACCAGCACCCACATGGGATGCCGGCACTGAAGGTAGCGGCTTTACCTGCTACGGCCACAGTGCTGGCCCCAAAGCCACTGTTAAAAATGATCACAGGGGTGGGTGTTGTGGTGTGGCAGGTTAAGCTGCTGCTTGGGACACTAGCATCCCATATTGAGGTTCTTGGTTCCTCTCCTGGCTACTCTCTGCTTCCAACACAGCTTCCTGCTAATGCACTTGGGAGGCAGCAGATAAAGATCCAAGTACTTGGGTTCTTGCCACCTACAAGAAAGACTGGTATGATGTCCCTGGCTGCTAACTTCGGCCTGACCACTCCTGGCTGTGGCCAGATTTGGGGAGTGAACCAGTAGATGTAAAATACCTTTCTCTGGCTCTGTCACTCTCCCTTTCAAATAAATAAATTAATACTTGAAATGTTCTTCTTAAATATTTATTGTTTATTTACTTGAAAGAGTGAGAGAGATCTTCCATCTACTGGGTCAGTCCCCAAATGGCCGCAATGGCCAGTGCTGTGGCAGGCCAAAGCCAAGAGCTTCTTCCAGGCGTTCCATGCAGGTACAGGAGCCCAATCACTTGGGCCATCCTCTGCTGCTGTCCCAGGCACATTAGCAGGGCGCTGGATTGGCGGTGGAGCAGCTGGGTCTCAAAACTGCACCTCTGTGGGATGCTGGCATCACAGGCAGTGGCTTTTACCCACTACACCACAATACTGGCACCTGATGGTTTTCTTAACAAAGGAAAATAGTGGCTGCAGTAAGGGAGGGAGGATGCTTTGCTGAAGTTAAGGCAAAAGTCTTACCTTGAACATGTGCTGAGTGATGTCTCTGTACCTGTTTCTTCATCTGAGAAGTGGGGCCGTATTTTAAGAGTTGTTGGGGGTTGGTGCTATGGTGTACTGGCTAAGCCTCTTCCTGCGGCACTGGAATCCCATATGGGCGCTGGTTTGAGTCCCGGCTGCTCCATTTGAGATCCAGCTCTCTGCTATGGTCTGGGAAAGAAGTAGAAGATGGCCCAAGTGCCTCAGTTCCTGCACCCGTGTGGGAGACGTGGAAGAAGCTGCTGGCTCCTGGCTTTGGATGGGCTCAGCTCTGGCCATTGCAGCCGTCTGGAGAGTGAACCAGCAGATGGAATAGAAGAGTTCAGTGAATTCATAATAAGTGATTAGGGGTCGGCTCTGTGGCATAGTGGGTATAAAGCCACTGCCTGCAGTGCCGGCAATCTATAAGGGCTCCAGTTTGAGTCCTGGCTGCTCCACTTCTGATCTAGCTCTCTGCACCCATGTGGGAGACCCAGAAGACGCTCCTGGCTCCTGGCTTTGGATTGGTGCAGCTCCAGCCATTGCGGTGAACTGGAGAGTGAACTAGCAGATGAAAGACCTCTCTCCCCCCACTTCTTCCCTCCCTCCCTCCCCCCTTCCCTCCTCTTTCTCTGTATTACTCTGACTTTCAAATAAATAAATAAATCTTTAAAAAAAGATTAGAATAGTTCTTGACATAAAACTAATGCTAAGTAAATATATGCTCTAGTTATAATGCTAATCATTTACTATTCTAATAAGATGGAATTACTTAATATCAAATATTAGCTAATGACATAATGCATTAACTTTGAAAAAGCATTTGATTACTTGTGTTGAAAGCAAATATTTCTAAGTTTAAGAGCAGTACTTGCAGAGTTTTGTCACTGGGTGTATTAAGTCTCAGTTGAAATGAGAAAGGGTGCCTTTTGACTACTTCCCTTATATTCTGTAAGATCGCTAGATTTCTAATGATTAAATACAGGAGCTTGTATTGTATATGTAATAATAGTCAATTTAATTTGTAGAAACTTTATCTTAATGATTTTTAAAATATCTGTTTACCTAGATAGTGGAAAAGAACTATGCTTTTGAGGTACCTGATGTTCCAGAAAAATCTGAGTACTTAGAAGTTAGATACTCGGTAAGTCAAACAAAGAAAATTACTGGGTTTTGGTTGAAAATGACATTTTTCCATTTTTGAGCTTTCAGCTGGCTTTCAATTAACAGTATTGTCAGGGTTCCTCAAGCCCACAGTTCACAGAGGTGGACTTGTGCAGTAATGAATAATTGAAATGGATAAAATTAAGTACATAGCAGGTTATACTGCTTTTCTCTGCTTTCAAGTATGCATCTTAAAATAAATAAATTGAAGCAGCATGGCTGTTTGTCAAGTGGAATGAATGCCACATGATGAAGCTGGACATCATTAGGCTGTTGAAGTGTCTCTTGTGAACAGTGGAAAGGTGAGAGAGGAGTGTCAGTAGCAGTGCTATAGTGCTCCTCATGCTCCTGTGACAGGCAAGGTCATTGCTGTGGGATGTTAATTAGCTGGACCTTAACCTCTGTTTACCTCTTTCTAGTGTTGATCCCACAATGTTGGAAGAGGGAAACTTTTAAGAAATGTTTCTGCAGTGGTAATGAAAAGTACCATGGAAGCATTTTCAACGAGTCCCACTCTACTGCTTTGATTCTTGTAATGCAGTTGTACTTATTTTGCTATTCTTTGTCAGCAAGGCCTGTACTGCTCTGGACAGAAATTCTCTTTTTGGGGAGTTTCTTGGCCTATTTTTCTTCTAATGGATATCATCAAGATGCATTATTTTGTCATTGTGAATTGTTTTTGTCTCCTACTGTGAATTGTTTTGGATTTCATTTATAGCAAATTACGCTTCATATATATGAAAAGGGGTTTCTTCGGGTGCTTCATAGAGAGGCTTTTGTTTATTTCAAATATAGACTTTGAAAAGTATGAAGTAATAGTTTTAAACAAGAGGGTTTTTTTTTTTGCCTTTTCAGGCTGAATTGCCACAGCTTCCTCAGGATTTGAAAGGAGAAACTTTTTCTCATGTATTTGGGACCAACACGTCCAGCTTAGAATTATTTTTGATGAACAGAAAGATCAAAGGACCGTGTTGGCTTGAAGTAAAAAATCCACGTAAGGAAAAACCTAACTCTGAATGCTAAGTGGGTTGCTGATGTGATTTTTAAAAGGAAACTTTAGAGATTGATCTACTTATGTTAGTGTGTCTACTTCCTTTTTTGTGTGTATGTTTCTTCAAGATTTTTCTTGCGTGGGTGTAGGAAAAACATTTGGAATCATGTGTATCTATAATACCAGGTACTTTTCCAGGGGAGGCTTTAGCCCAGGCAGTCATTTGGGGCGTGTTCCTCTTTGTGTCTTTGTGTTGTTGTTTGTGTGTACTGCCAACCTGGCTGATGTGGGGAATGATGACCCCGAAGTGTATAGTGCTTGTTTGGCCTGTTACCTGATGTTTGTCAGTATTTACACCTGTGATACTCTGTTTGGTCTTCATGAATCTTTTAAAAATGTTCTGTGATTTCTCCAAAGTACTGTTGTGGTTTTGTAAAAATTCATTTTGGATTCTTTGGATAATCTGATGAAAGCTGCGGACCTTTTTCTCAAAAAAATGAGCATATGTACAAGGGCTTGTGTACTACCCAACAGTAGGGTTTATTTTTATTAGATGTTATAGAATGTTATTCTTATTAGAAGACAGAATTGAATATCGCAGTTAATCACAGATTTCTTAATTATCATAGCTTTTCTTTTCCAGGAAATATTGTTGTATCTGTTCTCTTTCAGAACTCTTGAATCAGTCAGTCAGTTGGTGCAAAGTTGAGGCAATGGCTTTGAAACCAGACTTGGTGAATGTCGTCAAAGATGTCAGTCCTCCCCCACTTGTGGTGATGTCTTTCAGCATGAAGACTATGCAGAATGCAAAGAGCCATCAAAATGAGGTGAGGAAATAAGGCAAATTTTGTACCTGTGCCTTAATTGTAATTCTTGCCGAACGTGTTTGGCTTTTTTACAAGGGAACATTGTCCTTTTTTGGAGGGGAAAGGATACTTAATTCATTTCCAAACTGCATTTTGGAGAATGATGTGAATTTTGGTCTGGTGTTGGGATTTTTATGTTTTTAAATGCTAATGATACTGGCCTTGTTTTGTTTTTAAAGTTTTTATTCTGGAGAACTTTAAATGGACACAGACTAATTCAGTGAACTTCCGGTACCAGTCACTCATATTCAGCGGTTAGCAAGATTCTGTCATATTTGCTTATACTCTTGCTTTTGTTTTTTAACTTGGAGTATTTCAGAGCTAGTCTCAGACCAGACCTTGTGTCGTTTTACCCCTACATGCCTTGGTACACCTCTCTCAAAACGTACACTTTCTGATGTAATACTAGGGAACTTCAGAAAGTTTGTGGATAAATGGAAATAGAAGGTAAGCTTATTTTGTTGAAAAAAATTTTTGAAATCTGCATACTAGAAGTCTTAAAGTTCATGAAAACAAGTTTTATGAAAAAAACTGTGTGTGGATTACAATTTTTTTGTACCATAATGATCTCTCTTTTAAGATTTATTTATTTACTTGAAAGGTGGAGTTACAGAGAGGGAGAGGCAGAGGCAGAGAGGGTTCTTCCATCTGCTGGTTCACTCCCCAAATGGCCTCAGTGGCTGGGGCAGACTGAAGCCAGGAGCTTCATCCGGATCTCCCACGTGGGTGCAGGGGCTCAAGCACTTGGGCCATCTTTAACTGCCTTCCCATGCACATTAGCAGGAAGCTGGATCGGAAGAGGAGCAGCCGGTCCTTAAATGGGATGCAGGTGTTGCACGGGGTGGGTTAGGACAACAAGCCACAGCACTGGCCCCACCAAAAAGATCTTTGAATTCAGTCTCTGTGTAAACATTTTTGAAGTGCCCTCATGCCATGAACACACCTTAACAGTGATTTCTTGCTGTAATCTAAAATACTAAGTCCATAATTACATTACTCCATTTCTTTCAATGTCTATTAACAGTTGGTTTGAGTCAGTGATGTTATTTTATTTTTTCTTCCTTTTAAACTTAATATTTTAATTTTTAAAATGATTTATTTATTTGTTTGAAAGGTAGAGTTAGAGATCTTCCATCTGCTGGTTCACTCCCCAAATGGCCACAATGGCTGGGGTTGGGTCAGGCTGAAGCCATGAGCTTCATCCAGGTCTCCCATGTGGGTGCAGGGGTCTAGACACTTGGGCCATCCTCTGCTGCTTTCCCAGGTGCACCAGTAGGGAGCTGAATTGAAAGTCGAACAGCCGGGACTTGAACCAACACTCAAGTGGCCGCTATACCGCTGCGCCAGACCCAATTTTTTTTATATAATTTTTATGCTTCTTGAATGTCTCTTAAATGGAAAAGGCTTCCTTTCACCCCCAGTAGTTGTTTTCTTTTCTTTTTTAAAAGATTTATGTATTTATTTGAAATTCAGAGCCACACAGAGATAAGAGGCAGAGAGAGAGAGAAGAGGCAGAGAGAGAGAGCGAGAGAGCGAGCGGTGCCTATCCAGAGCCAAGAGCCTCTTCCAGGACTCCGAAGCGGGTGCAGGGGCCCAAGGGACCCAGGCCATCTTCCACTGCCTTCCCAGGCCACAGCAGAGAGCTGGATTAGAAGTGGAGCAGCCGGGTCTCAAACTGACGCCCAAATGGGATGCTGGCACTTCAGGCCAGGGTGTTAACCCACTGCGCCACAGTGCTGGCCCCAGTAGTTGTTTTCATTGAATAATTAGAGATCACTGTTGGTTGTCTCATAAAATGTCCTATTTTCTTTATTTGTTTTATTGTCTTGTCATTGGACTTCTTTCTTCCTCTGTATCAGGGATTGGCAAACAGTGGCCTGTGGGCCAGTGCCAGCCTCCTACCTGTTTTTTTAAAATGAAGTTTCATTGGAACACAGCATATGTACAGCTGCTTTTTCACTGTAGTGGCAGAGTTGAATGGTCCTAATGGAGACCATATGGCCTGCAGTGGCTAAAATATTTACTCTCTGCCTTTTATAGAAAAAGGACATTGGCCTCTCCTCGTTTCTTCCTTTTTGTGTATTCTGTAAGTTCATTTTAAAAGATCAGTTGGATTCAGGTTCACCTTTTTTTAGTCAAAATACTTTATATAGATAGTACAGCGAACTTCATATCAAAAGGAATAGTGTCTGGTTAAATTGCTGTTAGTGAGGCTGTGAAGGGTTCATGTGATAACCATTGTGAATTTCTCCAGCTTTTCATCTAATGCGAGTTTTTATTTTTTAACTTCGAACTAAAAATATTTGGTGCTGGGTAGTTCTTGGTTGTGAGGTGCTGCCCTGTGTGTTTGGGACATTTAGCAGCATCCCTGACCTCTATGTGCTAGATGCCAGGAGTACCCCTGCTCCTGGTTCTGACAACCAAAAATGTCTCCAGACACAGCCAGATGTCCCTGGGGTAGGGACTTGGGGGTAACATTATCCCTACCACTGGTCTGTTGGCTTCATTTATTAGTTGTTTTTGTGTGGATTAGTTACTTCATTAGGAATTTGAAAATGGTGGTTTTCTAATTCTGTCTATAATTATCAGTTAAATTTTTCTATAATGTCAATTTTTCTTCACTAACCAACATTATTTGGTTACGCTGTAGTGTTTGTTTAGGAGAGATAGGATAAATACTTAATTCTTTGTCTTTCACTGCCTATTTATTTATGCTTTTTAAGCTTTATTTTATTTTGTTTATTTGAGTTACAAAGAGAGGTAGAGGCAGAGAGGTAGAGAGAGAGAGAGGTCATCCATCCGCTGGTTCACTCTCTAAATGGCCGCAATGGCCAGAGCCGAGCCAGTCTGAAACCAGGAGCCAGAAGCTGCTTTCAGGTCTCCCATGTGGGTGCAGGGGGGCCTTCCTCTCCTGCACATCAGGGAGCTGAATTTGAAGTGGAGCAGCCAGGACTTGAACTGGCACCCATATGGGATGCCAGCTCTGCAGGCCAGGGCTTTAACCTATTGTGCCACAGCACTGGTCCCTCATTGCATATTTTTTGAGTAGGAAGTTGGCCTACATTACGTGCAGTGGAGATGAGACTTTGTTACTTTTTTTACTTCCTTTTCTATGGAATATCACTATGAGCATGAGAGTTTTATATATATGTATATATTTTAGCTTGTTTAAGTCTATTGCATTCATCGTTACTTTTTTAAAAAAAGATTGTTTTATTTATTTCAAAGACAGGGTTACAGAGAGAGAGATCTTCCATCCGCTGTTTTACTCCCCAAATGGCTGCAATAGCTGGAGCTGGGCCAGACTGAAGGCAGGAGCCAGGAACTTCATCCAGGTCTCCTGTGTGGGTGGAGAGCCACGCACTTCTGCTGCTTTCCCAGGCACATTAGCAGGGAGTTGGATTGGAAGTGGGGCAGCCCGGGGTTTGAGCCGGAGCCCATGTAAGATACTGGCTGCTTAACCTGCCATGCCACGATGCTGGCATCTATATATATAAATGTCAGCATCGATATCGCTTTGGTCAGTGAGAGCTTCTTTAAATTTTCTAAGGCCTTTTGACCTTGGTGGGGGTCTTTTAAATGGCATTTTAGCAGTGTTTTCAGTGCTTTACTTTTACCATGTGATTTGATATTTTAATAATTGTTATTAGAGTAGATGAGGGCTGGCACTGTGGCATAGCATGTAAAGCTGCCAGCTGCGATATCAGCATCCCTAATGGGCACTGGTTCAAGCCCCGGCTGTTCCACTTACAATCCAACACCTTGGTAACGGTCTGGGAAAAGTAGCAGAAGATGGCCCAAGTGCTTGGGCTCCTGCCACTCAGGTAGAAGACCTAGATGAAGCTCTTGGCTCCTGGCTTTGGTCTGGCCCAGCCCTGGCCATTGTGGCCATCTGAGGAGTAAATGAGTAGATGAAAGATTGGTCTCTCTCTCTCTCTCTCTGTAACTCTGATTTTCAGATGAATAAATAAATCTTAAAAAGAAAAAAAGATGAACACTAGAGAAAGCTAAAAGAATAGAGTACATGACCAGAGGCAATTGTTAAATGTTTGGAAATGATTTAATTAGTACTTAGTTTAAAGAAGTATTCATCTCCTAGTGCCCAGAGTGAGGTTTCCGTCTACTGTTTCCAAATAAAGCACATAGGATTCTGAGGAGAAATGGCTGATGCAGGGCAGGAAGTGTCTGAGATAAGTCTGGAACATGTCGTTACATTAGAAAGCAAGATGATATTAACATGTACTGCAGTTATGTCTGAAGGACTCTGGAAACTTCTGGCCAAAATTGGGGGAATGTGATTATTAGAAGAAAAACTGCAGATGGAAATATCTCAAATCCATGTGTTCTTAATACTGTCAGTAATGACACTGCCACATGAGTCACTTGTGAGGGAAGCTAGGGAACCAACGATTATTTTGAAAATTGGGTAAATGGAGAATTTTCCTCAGTTTTCTGAATGCATACTCTACCTCTCTGTAACCAAATAATTGCTTGATGGAAGTTTCTCATTGTGGAAGGTTTCCTGCTAAGAAATGATCATGGGAAAATGGAGTATTACAGTTTTTCTTTTTTTTTTTTTTGACAGGCAGAGTTAGACAGTGAGAGAGAGAGACAGAGAGAAAGGTCTTCCTTCCGTTGATTTACACCCCAAATGGCCGTTACGGCTGGCACTGCACCGATCCGAAGCCAGGAGCTAGGTGCTTCCTCCTGGTCTCCCATGTGGGTGCAGGGCCCAAGCACTTGGGCCATCCTCCACTGCCTTCCCAGGCCACAGCAGAGAGCTGGCCTGGAAGAGGAGCAACCGGGACAGAATCCGGTGCCCCAACAGGGACTAGAACCCAGTGTGCCGGCGCTGCAGGTGGAGGATTAGCCAAGTGAGCCGTGGCACCGGCCATTACAGTTTTTCAACCCCCACTCAAATAATGAATTTAGGTAATGGTCACTAGTGACTGCTAATATCACCGAACTAGAGATAAGTAGACATTATGTGCCTGTGCCTTCTGAGAGAGGTAATCAGTAGCACCTCCAGAGTATTCTTGCCAAAATTGGAACCTGATTTTGATCAAGCCTTTAGGTCCAAGTGTGAATTTACAGGCAGTACAGAGAAAAAAGGACATGTTAAATGACATTGTTAGGATAAAATCTGTAAGATCCATATTCTGAGCCATTCTGTAGGACAAGCGACTCAGTATCTTCAGCAAATTGCAATTTCACGGAAATGGCACATGGGGCAGGATTGTACCTGTAGTTTTACATATTAGCCATTTGTAAAGTGTAGGCTTTATTTGGTAATTAAATGTAGATAATTTGGAAAGCATGAAAACTTAAATTTTGCCTGGATATTTAATGATTTTAAAGAGTTACTACTTGTATTATGATTTCATTTTTAAAAGCCTTACCGTTTGGAGGGATTGTTTTCAACTGGGTGAGATTTTGGCAATGTTTGGAGACTGTTTCATGATCACGGCCTGGGGCCTGGGGTATGGTACTGCTGGCCTCTGGTGGATAGAGGCCAGGGATGCTGCTAGATAATCTACAGTGCATAGGACAGCCGCACAGCAAAGAATTATTAGGCCCAAGATGTCAATAGTGCCAAGGTTGAAAACTGCTATTTAAGAGATTCATGCTCAATTATTTCCTGATAAAATTATACTTCTAGATTTTGTTTCAGAATACTCTGAGGGGACACAGGAAGTGGGTTTGGCATAGGTAAATTTGGTAGTTGAAACTGGATGATGGGTATATATGTGAGTTAATTTTATTGTCTTTTGTAATTTGCTTAACTATTTACATAGTAAATAGTTACAAGTGTTCTTGAGTACTAAAATGTATACTTTTTATTTTGTTGGTGGATTGGGGGGAGAATGCAGAATCCATTGTGGGCATCTGCCCTGTGATCCTTTTCTGGCTTGCTTTGCAGATTATCGCTGTGGCCGCTTTGGTCCATCACAGTTTTGCCCTGGATAAGGCGCCCCCACAGCCCCCCTTCCAGTCACACTTCTGTGGTACGTGTTTTTTTAAGCTGGTTCACTAACGGCTTGATTTGCATTTTCTTCTTTTTTCCTCCAGCTGTTAAATCAGTAACTTGGTTTTCAAAAATTGTTTTCAAGAGTAGTGCAAGCATGTTGCTTAAGGTTTTTTTCAGTCGTGTAAACCAAGTTGTTTTGGATTGGTTGTCTCCATTTCAGCTGGTCTGTTTTGTTCTGGGAGCACATTCCTGCGCTAGTTCTACATCATTTTTCGATTCCAGTACTCACTCGTGGGGCTGAGTAGTTTTTCTATGTCAGAGTTAGGCTTTGACGATTTTCTGTGTCATCCGTGAAGCCAGTTTAGGAGCCTGGCCAGAGTTTGCTGTGTGACGAGGCACCATGCTTAGGAATAAAGGAACAAATGCATGTTTGCCTAGCTGGGGTCTTCAGGAGGTTTATGGGAAAATGTGTACTATGAAAATACATGTGTCAGTTTCAAAATTTTTTCAACCAAAATGATCTTTTAATTTCATTTTCCATGAAGTTCCTGAAGCCCACTTATATTTGGGAGGAGATTGGAGTTGGTTTGTGTGATACATAAAATTTGGTGGGTGGAATTATTCCACAGAATCCTACGTGTGTTTTTTTGTCTTCAAGAAATATTCTGACATACTTTGTCTTTAGAGTTTGGCCATTAAGTAAGCATTTTGTTGTTAAAACAGTGCTTTGGAGAGGGAATAGTACTGTTGATTTATTACGTTCCCTAAGGTCTTTTTCAGCCCAGAACTAGAGATTAGGTTTAGTAGCGTCTTTTGTTTGGTTTCTTGACTATTAGGAACACAGAACAAGAATGATGATGAGAATACTTTGGAAAATATCTGGAAGAGAGCGGTCGTTAGCTCCTTTCAGCATGCATATGTTTATTTTCTCTGTGCCTTTACAAATAGCGGTTCAGTATGTCGGGGAAACTGGTCATCTTTAAAAGCTTTTTGAACTTGGAGAAAGTTGAATTGAGTTCCTCCAAAGAATGCTGGTAGAGGCTTTGCTGATGAGGGAATTTCCTTTTAGAAATTCTCCATTTTGACTTCAGTAGATAAAAAGTGTTTCATCAAAGAGTTTTTGAAAATATGTTTATTTATTTATTTGAAAGAGTTACGGAGAGAAAGGGAGACAGACACACACACATACACACACACACACAGCGAGAGCGAACACGCAAGCAGTCTTCCATCTGCTGGTTTGTTCCCTAGCTGGCTGCACACACTAGGGCTGGGGCAAGTAGCAGCTAAGAGTTTTTTCTGGGTCTCCCATGTGGGTGGCAGGAGCCCATGCACTTGGGCCATCTTCTGTTGATTTTTCCCAGGCCATTAGCAGGGAGCTGGATTAGAAATGGAGCATCTGGGACATGAACCGGCACCGACATGGAATGCCTGCATTGCAGGTGGCAGCTTTACCTGCTATACCACAATGCCAGGCCCCATCAAAGCATTTTTAACAATTGTAGGGATATAGGTTTATGTGCTTGGCTAGTCTTTTGAGGTCTAACAACATGACCAATGGAAATACTTGATCCTCTTAAATCTAGGAATTGGAGGGGATTTATTTACATTTAAGACAATTTACCATTCTAAAATATTCAGTCAAAATGTGCTTGAAATATATGTTAAAATCTTTATTTTTTCCTTCTTATAGTTGTGTCTAAACCAAAGGACTGTATTTTCCCATATGCTTTCACAGAAGTCATTAAGGAAAAGGTAAAGAACTTAACTATTTATTTCTTTTAAATATGAAACACCTATTTATTTGTAAAGAGAGAAAATAGGAGGGTGGTATGGACTAGTATAAACAGACTATTATTTAGTAGGTCTGTTCTGCTGGATTGGACTATGGCATTAACTCATTAAAATGTGTTAGAAATATAAAACTAGAAATATTATTTAGCCTTGTTTAAGTGTTTTACCACCTAAAAGCAATAGGATTTTACAGATGAATAGGCACAAACCCTCCCTCAGATTCCTCATTTGGAAGCTTTTCCAAAATGTATGATCACATGATTCCTGCTTTGGGAACAGTGTTGGGTAGAACCCTCCCCACCATGAAGGAAGCCCAGTGAAATTGGGAATACTGTGAATGTTACAGGGCCCTGTATTGGCAATGTTCACATGGACAGACCAACATTGGTGAGTGACTGCTAAACTCCCAGTTTGTTCCATGAAGTAATTTTCATGAGTGGTTAATAAAAAAAATCCGGGGGTGGGTATGGGGGTTGCCTAGAATGATGTATGGTGTTTTTCACAAAGGTAAATTTATTCAGTCATATGAATTTCTTTTGTGGGGGAGAGTATGTCATATCTTTTATAAAATGATGGTGTTGATTAATTTGTAGGTTTATTTTTTAATGTCCTTACTTGAAAAAAATTTTAAAAATTAGCCATCTTGTCAGGTTCCATATATTTTATTTTAAATTGGCTTGAGAAGTCCAGTGGTTGAGGGGGAGACTATTAGGCTCGTCTGTGATTTATGAAATGCTCTGAATTGGAAAATTCTATTAGAGTAAAACTGGCCTTTTTAAAAACAGAGCTGGTTGTAGAAAACATAAAGCTGGAAAGCCTGCCCACTGCCCTGGAGGGTGAACCCCTGGTCTCTATTTTCTCCGTTCTGTCTCCTAAAATAGAGTCTTTTCTACTTAAAAAAAGAAAAAAAACATATACCTATCAACATCCATTTTAAGAGATTTTTTAAAAAATTAGAATCATTCTTTTAAATACCTCATTTGTATTCAGTATTCCAAGTGAAAGCCTTTTATGTAAAGATAGGTTTCGTTTATATTTAAAGCACTTGTAATTCTTAACATGTGTTTGTTTTTAGTCTAGTTTGTTATTTTTTCTTATACCACTATTTGAGATTATTTTGTACAGTCTTTGAGATTTCTTTGCCTGATAAATACATAAACAGTGAAGTCTACCAGGGATTATATAGGAAAATAAGTAATGTTTTTGATAGGTAGTCTGATTTATGAGCTGTAAAATCTGTCCAGATGCTCAAGAATGTCCCTGTGGAGGGACATGTCTGCACTTGATGTTGCTTAGCACTTAAAAATTTTTGCTTTATTCACATGCTTATTACTAGAATGAGCTCCTCAGAGACTTTGCACAATTATTACCATAAAACCTAGAATCAGGAATTTCATTGCTGCATTTAGGTTTGAAATGGATAAGTTTCTTTTAACCCTAACTAGTCTTCCCTTGGTTGAACAGCAAACCAAGGTACAATACTTGAGAGTACAGTCAGTGACTGGAATGTTCTTATTTAACAGAATGTGAAGGTTGAGGTTGCCGCAACAGAAAGAACACTGCTGGGTTTTTTCCTTGCAAAAGTTCACAAAATTGATCCTGATATCATTGTGGTGAGTAGATGTTTGATCACGTGTCGGGGAAGCTCTTCATTTCTTAAGTTCTTTCAGTGTGACTTTATTGGTACTTTTGAGAAGCAGAGTATTTTTTCAGAGTGAAGTGACCCTATGGACATGTTGGAATTGCCATACTTTCTGCTGATGAAAGGGGAAAAAAACTCAGCCCACTCCAAATAGTTTTTTCTCTAATAGAAAGCACATAAGTAAGGAAACTTGTGTAAACTGGTAGTATCTTCAAACTACTTTTTGGCTTAATGGCCCAGTTATATAGTGGTCATGGGAGTTAATTCCCTTGGATGAGTACAAATCACAAAACTAAGTATTTGTTTTAAAGATTATTTATTTGAAAGACAGAGAGAGAAGGTCTTCCATCTGCTGGTTCATTCCCCAAATGGCCCCAATAGCTAGAGCTGGGCTGATCTGGAGCCAGGAGGTTTTTCTGGGTCTCCCACATGGGTGCAGGGGCCTAAGGACTTGGGCCATCTTCTACTGCTTTCCCAGGCCATAGTGGAGAGCTGGATTGGAAGTGGAGCAGCCAGGACTTCAGCTGGTACCCAATGGGATGCTGGCACTGAAGGCGGCAGTTTTACCCGCTGTGCCATAGTGCCAGTCCCAAAACTAAGTATTTTAATTTTGTGAGCATGATCGATCTCTATGACATACTGCTTTGACAGTTCAGGCATAGGAATTTTTTCTCTTGACAGTCTAGTATGTTCCCACTAGTGAAAGCTGATAATAATTCATTGAGTTGTTTTTAGCTCCAGTTCCTCAGAGTCATAAAGCAACATTTTTCTTTTTAAAACTTTATTTGACAGAGGGAGATGTCCCATCTATTGGTTCACTCTCCAAATACCCACAACAGCTAGGGCTGGGCAAGGCTGGAGCCAGGAGCCTGGAACTCATTCTGGGTCTCCTGTTGGCTTGGCAAGGGCCCAACTCCTTGCATGTTCACCGGCTGCCTCCCAGGGTGTATTTTAGCAAGAAGCTGGAATTGAGAGCGGAAACAAGACTTGAACTCAGGTACCCCATCTTATGGATTGTGGGTGTCCCAAGCAGTGTCTTAACTGTTAATGCCAAATACCTACTCCAACAACATTTTGCTTTTGTGTATCCTCTGGCCTTAGTGTGTAACTCCTTGATAGATATTTCTCCTACTGTCTTATTTCTGGGCTAATAGATCAATCAAATTGTATTGTGTTTTGGGGATTTTTTTGGAGGCAGGTAAGCTGTAAATATATTAAATGTTATACCAGTAATTTCTTTACATTGAAGTTTTATAAAATGTTTGCCGTATTCTTCTCCAAGTTCATGTTTACTCCTGGGTACCCTCTGTGGCAGTGGTAAAACTGACATCCTGAGAGTCTGGATTATAACTGTGTTCTGCTTCCCTTATGAGATTTCAGGACCCATCTCTAAAGCACCAAGATTCTGTCTACAGTGCTGTAATATGGTGCTCTAAATCAGCGTGAGGCACTCACCCAGACTCCAGTAACAATATTTTGGACTCCAAGGAGATGTCAGGGAGCTTGGATACTTGATCTAGCTTACAGAATTAGAGCCAAGTATGTGGATGAGAAATGCAGGTAGAAGATGGATTCCTGACATGGGATTGGGTCCTTGATTCCAGGCGGAGTTTGGAAATGAGACTTTCTCAAGTCCTCTGAGTCTTTTAATAGAAAAAAACTGCCATAAATATATACATACATATATATAGTGATAAAATACGTGTAACAAAATTGATCATCTTGACCATTTTTAAGTGCAGCCATTACCACCTCCCATCTTTGTAACTTATTGTATAAAATGAAACCTCTGTACTCACTGACTCCCATTCTCAACAGCCTCTGGCATCTATCATTCTCCATGTATCTCTAGTGGTATCTATTTTTAATAAAACTGATTACAAGTAAATCTATTTATTGATCTGAATTATTTCCAAATTTGATTAATTTTTAGTAAACAGGCATATGAACCATGTTAATTTCTATTTTTATTGGGAATTATCATTTTAGATAGGAAAAATCTGGTTGCATTTTTGAGATGCATTTCAGTTTTATTTCTTTGTTTTGTTGAAGTTTCTTATTTGACCTATTTAATGATATGTATTTATTTTGTTGCACACCAATTAAGGTTCTAACTCAGTGGTATTGAACTCAGTTTTTAAAGAAGAAACTAAGTGCATTCATGAGTTTTCCAAGACGTTGATAATCTGTTATATAACACAGACAAGTTCTCAGTTTTTAAGGTAGTAAAATGAAATTGTTTGAATATAGCTTTTACTGATAACATAAAAATTATGGTACATTAAAATTTGCATTTGCCTCAGAGCCTGTGAGGCATGAGCTGCAAATTAAAAGACATCATATGAGCCTTGCATCAATTAGGATGAAATAAAGTTTATTCCAGCAATCTGCTTAGCAGCCTTGTTAATGTCAAAGCTAATGAATGCTACTGATGAATAAATTCCTCAAGAAGAAAAGACCCCTAATCGGAGGTAAGCTCATGATGTCTTCAATTAGAGACCAGATAAAGAAAGGGCAAAGAGATTCTTTGCATATGAAGATAAATTCTCTAATTTGCGTTTGTTGTAACATTATTGGCTGCCTTCTTTTTCTGACTAGGGTCATAATATTTATGGGTTTGATCTGGAAGTACTACTGCAGAGAATTAACATGTGCAAAGTTCCTCACTGGTCCAAGATAGGTCGACTGAAGCGATTCAGCATGCCAAAGCTTGGGGTAATTATAATTTTCAGAATCTTATTTTTTATTTGGTGTTTTTATGTAGGGTACCCAATGGGGAACACATTCTAATTTTTAAAACAGGAATTCATTGCCACAGTGCTGGCCCCCAAGGAATTCATTGCCTTGTGATAGAAATTTCAGTACATTTTAACTTTTGCACCAAACATCTTTTCCTTTGAGCCCAGCAATTTATGTGCAAAAGCCACTAGTAGTTTTTAAAATCTGTGGTTAAACAACAAGATGATGACACATACATATTATGTTCACTTCCATTTTGCATTCCCTTACAGCATTCTTTCCCTTAGTGATATCTTTTAGGGAAAGGTTGCAGGGTTCAGAAATAATTGCGTGTTACTTGGTAAGAATCAAAGGGAGTTGATGTTGAATGTCTTAAGACAGTGGGTTATGTACTTTTTGTGTTACTTACCTTGCACAATAACCCCATTCTCATGGGGACAACAGAATTTGATCAAGATTATATAACTGGGGAGGGAAAGAACTGAGATTTAAACCCAGACCTGTCTCATTTCCTTAAAGCCCATGTATTTTTTCATTCTGCCTGCTGGCTTCGTGTAGGGAGGCTTGGATGGTTTTTGAGCCTTTTTCCTTAACCTGCTACTGTTTGGTGCTTAAAATCTTATTTTATTTAAAGCTTGTAAATAAAATGGTTATGATGGCCCATCAGAAATCTTAGGACCCTATACCTTTCATAATGTTGTCTAGAGGATTCCACTGTTACAGAGCAGAGTTGGGGCCACTGCTCTTTGCTTCTTTTCCTAGTCATTCTTTAATATGGTAGAGTCATTATTAACATTTCATCAGAACACTTGCCTAGTTAACTCCTTCTTCCTTTCAAAATTTTCTTTATATGGTATCTCCTCAGTAGGTCTACCCTGCTCACTGTGTTAAAACCTGCTTGCCCTGGTAAACCCTACATGATTGGTGGGAACCCTGTTGCTTGTATAATCACTCCGGAGTCTGTATTAGCAGGAAGGTGGAGTCATGAGCCAGAGCCAGAAATCAAACACAGGCAGTCTGCTATGGATACGGGCATCTTTACCACTAGACTGAACACCCACTCCGTGTTTTTTTTTTAATTTATTTCTCTATTGTAGAGGTGGAATTATGGGGTGGAGGGGGAGTGATAGAGAGGTCTTCCATTCACTGGTTCACTCCCCAAATGGCCACAACGGCTGGAGCTAGGCCTATCTGAAGCCAGGAGCCAGGAGCTTCTTCTGGGTCTCCCAAGTGGGTGCAGGTACCCAAGCATTTGGGCCATCTTCCGTTCCTTTCCTGGGTGCATTAGCAGAGAGCTGGATTGGAAGTGGAGCAGCTGGTATTCTAACCAGCACCCATATAGGATGCCAGCACTGCAAGCAGAAGCTTAACTTACTACGACACAGCACTGGCCCCGACTCCTGTTTTTTATTGTGTATTTCAAGCAGGGCCAGAAATTGTTAACTGCTCTGTTCTTAGAGCTTTGATAATTTTCATATATATAGTAAATGTCAATAAATATTTGATTGATAAATAGAATGAGAGTTTTATTACTGGCCAGCTTCAAAATAGGTTAGAATGAAATGTTCACAGTGTATCCTCGTTCATGGGATTTGCTTTTTGTCCCCACCTCATAGGGCCGGAGTGGATTTGGTGAAAGAAATGCTACCTGTGGCCGAATGATCTGTGATGTGGAAATTTCAGCAAAGGAATTGATTCGTTGTAAAAGCTACCATTTGTCCGAACTTGTTCAACAGATTCTGAAAACTGAAAGAACTGTGATTCCAATGGAAAATGTACAAAATATGTATAGGTATGATCCTAGATTCTTCAGAATTTTTTTGTCTTGAAATCAACAAATGCAGGATGCCAGTACCATCATTAGGCTGCAGTGGCACAGCCAGGGCTGGTATGGATGGGAAGTTGCCTGTCTGCATGTCAGAACCACCATCTCCATTACTTTAATAATTTGAGCTAGTTTTCCACTTTAGTTACTTAATTTGATCAGTTTATCTCTATTTCCCTTACCTGTCTTAACACTACCAATTGTAGTTTAGAAATCGGTAGGAAGTTTAGATTTTGATCTTCAATTCATTCTTTCAGGAATTAGTGTAGCTATTTTAGAAATATAAAAACTGAGCTATCATTAACTTATTTAGAGATATTGTCTGCTTATTTCTTTTTTTAAAAGATTTATTTATTTATTTGAAAGAGTTTCACAGAGAGACAAGGAAAGACGGGGGGTGGGGGGTGGGTCTTCCATCTGCTGGTTCACTCCCTAGTTGGCCGCAATGGCCGGAGCTGCACCGATCCGAAGCCAGGAGCCTGGAGCTTCTTCTGGGTCTTCCTTATGGGTGCAGGGGGCCCAAGGACCTGGGCCATCTTCTGCTGCTTTCCCAGGCCACAGCAGAGAGCTGGATCGATAGTGGAGCAGCGGGACCTGAACCAGTGCCCGTATGGGATGCTGGCACTGCAGGTGGAGGCTTTACCTGCTATGCCACAGTGCCGGCCCCACCTGTTTATTTCTTAAATAAGGTTTTTTCCTACCCTCTGGTCATTTTTAAAAGAGATACATTTATTTATTGGAAAGGCAGAGTTAGAGAGAGGGAGAGGCAGGGGGAGAGAAAGAGAGAGTACACGAGAGAAATCTTCTATCTGTTGGTTCACTCCCCAAATGACTGCGATGGCTGGGTGTACCAGGCTGAAGTCAGGAACCTATAACTTCATCTGGGTTTCACATGTGGGGGGCAGGGGCCCAAGCATTTGGGCCACTTTTCAGTGCTTTCCCAGGCGCATTAGAGGGAGCTGGGTCAGAAGTGGAACAGCCTGATACTTCAACCAGCGTCCATGTGGGATGCCAGCATTGCAAGTGGTTGCTTAACCCACTGTGCCACAATGCCATCACCCTGCCCGCCCGCCCCAATTCTTTTCTGCCCATTTGTCCATCCTGAGTCCTTGGATTACTGTTCTTTTCTGGGCTATGTTTTTTTTATTTTAAGATTTATTTATTTATTTGAAAGTCAGAGTTACACAGAGAAGGCGAAGCAGACAGAGAGAGAGAGAGAGAGAGAGAGAGAGAGGTCTTCCATTTGCTGGTTCACTCCCCAGATGGCCGCAAGGGCCAGAGCTGAGAAGATCCAAAGCCAGGAGCCAGGAGCTTCTTCTGGGTCTCCCATGCAGGTGCAGGGGCCTAAGTGCTTGGGCCATCTTCTATTGCTTTCCCAGGCCATGGCACAGAGCTGGATTGCAAGTGAAGCAGCTGGTACTCGAACTGGCGCCCATATGGGATGCCGGCATTGCAGGTGGAGGCTTTATCCGCTATGCTACGGCGCTGGCCCCTGGGCTATGTTTATCTCTAGGTGATCTCCTTGAGCCTTAAGAGATTCATTTCCACATGGGGACTGATGCCACTCATCTGCTCGTATTCACCTTAGACACTCCCACCCCTGAATTCCAGAGTCAAGGGTCCCCCGTGCCTGTTGTGCTTGATGTCTAATATGAGCCTCCAGCTTTTTGAAAACTGACCTCCTGATCTTCACCCCTAGGTTTTTCCTCTAGTCTTTCCTTATTAAATTAATAGCAAATCTTTTTTTTCCATTACTGCCGGAAACCTCCAAAGTCTTCCTCTGTCCAAAGCCTCAAAGACATGCTTGATTCCTCTCTCACGTCCAGTGTTAGCTCTGTTGGGGGAGGATCCTGTCAGCTGTGGCTTCCAGATACATTTAGATATGACCATTTCTGCCTCCATTGGACCCACCCTGCCAAGCCATCATCCTCTTTTCCCAGGATTATAGCATTTTTTTTCTACTGATCTGCTTGCTTTTGTCCTTGCCCCCTTGTGGTCTGACTGGAATTATCTTGCTAAAGTTGAGTCAGATATGGTACTCTTTTATCTGCAGGATCCTATACAGTGTCTCTATATCATTAACTCTTGTTCTTTTACAGCTTTCTTTATCATTGTCTCTAATACAACTATATTGCTCCTTGAATTTGCCCGGTTTGCACCCAGTGAAGGCCTTTATTTAAAATTAATTAATTACTTTTTTTGACAGGGAGAGAGAGACAGAGAGAAAGGTCTTCCTTCCATTGGTTCACCCCCAAATGGCCACCACAGCCAGCGCACTGTGCCGATCCGAAGCCAGAAGCCAGGTGCTTCTCCTGGTCTCCCATGGGGTGCAGGGCCCAAGCACTTGGGCCATCCTCCACTGCACTCCCGGACCACAGCAGAGAGCTGGCCTGGAAGAGGAGCAACCGGGACAGAATCCGGTGCCCCAACAGGGACTAGAACCCAGAGTGCCGGCGCCGTAGGTAGAGGGTTAATCTAGTGAGCTGTGGCGCCGGCTCTTCAGTGAAGGCCTTGAATATGCTGTTCGATCTGCCTGGAATGCTCTTCCCTCCAATACCCATCTGTAAACCTTGCTCCCTCTCTTCAGTGTCTTTACTCTAAGTGAAGTCTTCCTCCATTTTTTAAGGAAAGTTTCAGTCTCTCCTCCTGATACTTAATATTCCTTTTGCTTCTTAACTGTTTCTCTTTAGCACATGTATGTTTAATTTATTTGTCTTTTTTATAGTCTGTCTCCTTAATGAGGATATGGACTCCATGAGGATGAGAATTTTTGTCTTTTTGTCTGTCGTGGTTACAGCCAGTGCCTGGCTCATAGTAAGCATAATGTACTTATTAGAATGAATTAAAGGATCTAGGTAGATTCTGGTTTGTTGTTAGCATATAACTTCATTTTACCATTATGGGATTTTTTTGTGTATTCTCAAGAAGGGCATTAGGATCAGTGGTGTGAACGAACTTACAGTTACATAACTACGTCATTTTAAATTATTTCCAAAGCAGAAGTGCCATTGCTCTGAAGTTACTTACAACAAAAATTCCTTGCTATATTTTATGAGGTTCTGATTATAGTCATTGTTTCTTTTAATTACTTGATTCTGTTTCATTCTTACCTTTTTTGTACAGTGAACCTTCTCATCTGTTGTACCTGTTGGAGCACACCTGGAAAGATGCCAAGTTCATTTTGCAGATTATGTGTGAGCTAAATGTTCTTCCATTAGCATTGCAGATCACTAACATCGCCGGGAACGTTATGGTAAATTTAACTCAGAAGGGGAAAAAAGCATTTCCTGTTGGATTCAGTGTTTGCTTGGGGTAGTTGTTATATGATAATGAGTCTAAATGCATGCTTATAAAATGAGTAACTTGGATTCTGAAAGCTGGGCTTCTTTTGTAAAAGGAAGAACTGCTTGTGAGAAGGGGAGGAATGCCAGGTGCAGTGTTGAAATTTGGGCGAACATAAGGATGATCTCTCTAACATCTGGATGTGTCTGTCTGGTGAATGGTCCTTTTAAGGGTAGAGAAATAGCCAAGTTATCAATATTTTAAGTTCTCTTTGTCTCTTAACTATAGTGTTTGAGGAAAATTTCAGACATAATTTAGTACCTTTTTCAAAAAAAAAAAAAACCCTTGTTTTTAGAATAGTTTAGAAGGAGGTACTGTGATTAACAACTCAGAGTTGGTGTTGTTTGTTGTGGTTTTGAGCTCCAGTTTTAAAATGCAATTCTGTTTTACAGTCCAGGACACTGATGGGTGGACGATCTGAGCGTAATGAGTTCTTGTTGCTTCATGCGTTTTATGAAAACAACTATATTGTGCCTGACAAGCAGATTTTCAGAAAGCCTCAGCAAAAACTGGTGGGTCCAAAATTGTATACTCTTACACCTTTTCTTAAGATTCTTTATATTACCTGGGTAGCTTTTTTCCTGGCTGTGATAACAACTGCATCCAAAATAATTATTCTCCTGTGCACTGTAAACACTCTGTCGTGATTCTTCTGTTGGATTTATGTGAGCATTTCCTTCTTCACTTTTCTCTATACATGCAAAATTATTTGCGGAATGTCATGTTCCTTGATGGATGACCATACATGGAAAGTATTTTGCCATCTTAGCTCCACCCAAAATTAAATGCCAGTAAAATCTTTTACTTCCTTAAACTTTCCTTTCCTTTACTTTTTTGTTGAATTTGTACTATTATTAAGGTCACCATTGTCAGGTTTCTGAAGTGATCTCTATGACATTGAAACTGAAACCTATTTTAACTACTGTTTTATCAGCACTGATAAAAATGGATTTGTAATGGGAACTGAGTGTTAGAATGTGATTTGGGTTTGTCCATTTGGTTATTTTAGGTACATTATCAGGATTGGTATAGGGAATATTAATTTAGTGGAATTTAACTTCTGGAGTGTTGCATGTTGATCATTAATAAACTACTTGGGAATAGATATTCAGTATATGGGTATACTTATTTTAAGGTATCAATATTAATAATGAGAATACATGAAATATATGTTTTTCCTTTATGATGTTAATGAATTTAATACGATTCTTTCAAAATGTCAAATTTTATGTAATATGAAGTTATTTTAATGATTCATTGAATTTAAAAAAAATTTTTTTTTATGTTGGTTTGAGAGGCAGAGTTACAGACAGAGAAAGATAGAGAGAGAGGTCTTCCATCTTCTGGTTCACTTCCCAAATAGCTGCAACTGCCGGAGCTGGGCTAATCTGAAGCAAGGAGCCAAGAGCTTCTTCTGGTTCCCCCCTGTGGGTGCAAGGGCCCAAGGTGCACTTGGGCCATCTTCCACTGCTTACTCAGGCCATAAGCTGAGAGCTAGATCAGAAGAGGAGCAGCCAGGATTTGAACTGGCTGGGATGCTGGTGGAGGCTTAGCCTCTTACGCCACAGCACTGGCTCTGATTCATTGGTTTTTAACGTGGAATTTTTATGAATTCAGCAATTTTTTTTAAAGGCATAGCTTTTTTTTTTTTTTTTTTTTGACAGGCAGGGTGGACAGTGAGAGAGAGAGAGAGAAAGGTCTTCCTTTGCCATTGGTTCACCCTCCAATGGCTGCTGTGGACGGCGCACCGCGCTGATCCGATGGCAGGAGCCAGGTGCTTCTCCTGGTCTCCCATGGGGTGCAGGGCCCAAGCACTTGGGCCATCCTCCACTGCACTCCCGGGCCACAGCAGAGAGCTGGCCTGGAAGAGGAGCAATCAGGACAGAATCCGGCACCCCGACCAGGACTAGAACCCGGTGTGCCAGCGCTGCAGGTGGAGGATTAGCCCATTGAGCCGCAGCGCCGGCCTGAATTCAGCAATATTAAAAATAGAATTTGTGTATTTTTTTAGCTCAGAGACACAGTATATTTGTTCAGGAAGTTAATATGCTTGGCACTTATTTGGACTCATAAACATTATAATAACTGCCATTCTCTACATGTAGGACCACTAATGATAAGTAAGTAATGTTTGCTAATATTGAGTACTGCACATGTTAGAATGTTAAATTTCTAAGTTAGTTGATTAGTTACAGGCTGGTAAAGTTATATTTCCATTTGGTATTAGGGTGATGAAGATGAAATGGATGGAGACACTGATAAATACAAGAAAGGACGTAGGAAAGCAGCTTATGCTGGAGGTTTGGTCTTGGACCCCAAAGTTGGTAAGCCTGGGCAAGGGACTGGTTATCCACTGGTGTTATGGAATGGCTTTTTTTTCTTTTTTAATTATTTGAAAGGCAGAGTTACAGACAGAGATCTCCCATCTGCTGGTTTACTCCCCAAATGGCTGCTATGGCTATGGCTGTGGCTGGGCCAGGCCAAAGCCAGGAACCAGGAGCCAGGAGCGTCCTCTGGGTCTCTCTTGCAGGTGCAGGGGCCCAAGCACTTCGGCCGTCTGCCACTGCTTCCCACGCATATCAGCAGGGATCTGGATTGGAACTAGATCAGCCAGGTCTCGAACCTGTGTCCATATGGGATGCTGGCACCGTGGGCAGAGGCTTGACTTCCTACGCCACAACACTGGCCCATGAGTGGAATTTCCTAACCTATAGCTTGTCTTGAGAGACTAGAATTAAAGCTTCTAGGTCAGCAAATAGGTCTCTTATTGACTTTATCCTGTGAAAGTTTTTTGCCAGGCATGTGACATGTGACATGGAATTAATTTTTTTTGCTATTTTCCAATAAAAATTTTTATGCACATTGAAGCTTAAATTTCATATGGCTGTCCTGTATCATGAAATACTAATCTGTTGACTTTTTCAAAGTATTCTAAAATGTAAAAAACTTCTTACCTCATGGATGCTACAAAAACAGACGATAGGCTGGATTTGGTCACACGTTGTTTGCCTAATACTGGTTCAGTGTATGGACAGTTGTTTGTCCTGTGGGAGGGGCACCTTTGTCTTCATTTACCCTGTGAGGGTGGGCTCTGCCTCTTTCCAATGAAACAGGGACAGTTCAGTTGGACAGCAAAGTTTAAACAGTACAAACAGTAACCAGCCACCAAATTGAAATTTAATTTTTCCCTATTGTGATAAATGGCAAAGAAGGTGTTTTGTAGTGTACAGATCTAGAAAGAACATTTCTAATAATTTTCTTAATCGTGTTCAGGTGTATGGTTCAGCAGTTGTGTTAAGTGCTTTCACATGGCTATGCAGAAATTACGTGAATTTTATCAAGCAACCTGATCTCTTGAGTAGGAGCTATTTTTGACAAAAGCAATTTTATTATTAGTTATAATGAAATGGAACAGTAGTACATTGTGTTAAGTACATCTGGATTTGAATTTTGGCTATGTGATCTTGGGCTGCCTGTTGTTTAACCTCTGTAAGCCTCAGTTTCCTCTTCTGTAAAATGGAAATAAGAATAGTACCTACCACACAAAGGTTTAAAGTAATAGAAGTGAATAGAAGTGATTGTTTAGTAGAGTGCTAGATGCAGAGTAAGCTGTCAGTATATGTTAGCAATTGTTATTACTGTTTTAACAGTGGACATTTACTTTTGTTTGGTTTCTTCTCAAAGTGAAGATAACTCATTGTGAATGTCCTAGAACAATATAGTAGCTTTCTGTTCACCTTTTGCAAGTGAAAAAGGTGAATCGTTCCACTGCTGACATTTATATATACCTGTCTTGTCTGATTTTTTCGTGGTCTGTATACGCATAAATAAGCTGCTCATTTTACTCTTTGAAAGTGTGATTGTAAAACTACTTATATAATACGTATATAAGTACTCACTGGGGCTTTATTTGGGATGGGCATGGAAGAGTAGGTGGGAGAGAATGCCTTCTTGATAGACAATTTAAGAACTCTTTTAAAAATGCATATGAAACCTCCCTAAAGTAATTGATGTGAAGTGTTTGCCCATGATGATGGTGTGCTTTGGGGGCTGGTGGAAAAAGACTGGTGGTCATTGGTTCCAAGGAGAGAGGACATCTTTTCATCCCTCTTTGGTGGTCTGGCTTTGTCCTCTAGTCCAAGTCAGTTTATGAAGTGCTAGTTGGCCCTTTTTTCCCCTTTTGTGTACTCCTTAGCTCTGGTAGTGTGCAGTTTCTAATTTACTTGGTACTATAGTACTCTGCTGTGATGTTTTGACAGTTATGCTTTCCTTCAGACTTTGACATGATGTGACTTTTTTTCACAGGTTTTTATGATAAATTCGTTTTGCTTCTGGACTTCAACAGTTTATATCCTTCCATTATTCAGGAATTTAACATCTGTTTTACAACAGTGCAAAGAGTTGTTTCAGAGGCCCAGAAAGTTACAGAGGTTTGTATTCAGCAGGGAAGAGGTACTTAAAATTGAGGTTAAAAGTGTCGCTTGGGTCTCTTAACTATTTTTGAAGTTACCGTGGTAGGGGAAAGGGCAAGAATGATAGAGGCTCTCTGCTGCCTGGGAGCCGACGGACAGGCAGAACTTTGAGTCCACAGAGGCTCTCCTTATGGATTTTGCCATGAGACAGGTGGGAAATGTGACCCAACCATCAGTGATTATCAGTTGGAAAGGGGTCACAGTGGTGATTGGGGAGTATTGCACAAGAGAAGACGGAGCTGAATTTCGACCTGGGAGAGGAGCTAGATGAAATCAGTACCAGTGGCAGAACCTCTGAGACTGTCGTTAGCTGGAGTGGAGGCAAACTTGGTCACACACAGAAATGGGATGGCAAAGGAAAATGTTTTGTAAGAAATTAAGGATGACAGACTGGATAAGACTCTTTGTTTTGGTGGTGTGGTTGCTGTTTCTGGTCTGGGGCTGCAGCAGCTCTTCATTGTTTGCATTTACTCAAGTCTCACTGCTGTCCTGCTGTTACTGCATGGCCGATCTCTAGATAGTTACCTTGGTGTGGAGGTGGAAAATGGTGATTTCTAAACTTGTCACTCTAAGCAGCTAGCCCAATTTTGATACACAAATTTACCATGTTTTATAATTTGCATTAAGATATCAAGGCACAATTTTTTAATAAAGAAATGAATCCATTTAAAAATTTCCTTTGGAATGCAAATCAAATTGGAATAAAAATCCTACACACTTGTTAAAAAAATTGCTTGAAGAAGGAAGAGAGAATCAAAGGGGTTAGCATTCTGGTTTTTCTTCTTAAATGATAGGTTAATTACATCTTTTCTTAGTGGTCAAAAAAGGAGAGGGTTGGGTAGAAAGACTCAGACTGGTTCTGTGTCTTTTTTAAAACAACTTTATTGAGGTATAATTCACATGCCACACAATCCACCTAATTAAAGTGTAAAGTTCAGTGGCATTTAGTGTGTTCATGGAATTTGCAACATCGCCACAATCAGTTTTAGGACATTTTCATTATTCTCCAAAGAAACCTTTTAGCTGTCACCTCCTTCAACTCAACCCCTTCATCCTTCCCATTTCTAGGAAACCACTAATCTTTCTGCCTGCATAGATGTTTGTATTCTGGACGTTTCTTATAAATGGAGCCATACAATATGCAGTCTTTGATACCTATCTTGTTTCCCTTAAGCATACTGTTTTCAGGATTCATCTGTGTTGTAGCATATGTTAATATTCCATTCCTTTTTATTACACAATGATAAAGTATGCATTTATTTTGTTTATTACCTCTTTATTGCTTTTTTATTTTTTATATATGGCAGATGTTTATTTGCTCTGCAGCTGCTGAATTTACCTTTTAGTTCCAACCACACATTGGGGAACTATTTTTCAGTCCTAGTTCTGTACTTCCAGAAGAGAGAAGCTGATAGGCTTACCTGGGTCAGTGAGCACCCTGGTCCCATCACCTGTGACCACAAGAGTAAGTTTAGAGTACAAATCTGCTAAGTATGGAACTTTTCTGTGAGGCAAGGCGATAACTTTACAGAGAAGGTATCAGGTAGACGTCCCCAAAGATAGTGACTGTGTTCAATTAGTATTTTTTGGACTCTGACCTCCTACTGTGCCAGCCTTGTGATAATTACTATTGTCCACTGACTCCTCTCTGCCCCATTTTTTTTTATTTGAGCTTTCCAGTTTTGGATTCTGGATGTACAAAAGAATCATTTCAGAGTTTGGAGGGACCTCAGAGGTCATAAGAAATACTCGGCATGCTACAACCTACAGATTCTGTAGCATTTCGTGTGCAATGCCTTCTTTGTTATCAAGACACTTGATGTCACAGGGATGGTAGTGGTAGAACTGGCAGCGGATTGTACATTTCCTTACTCCAGATCTTTTCACATTACTTTTTATCTGACTTTGATAGTTGCCGTAAATAAATTGGAATGTATACCAAGACCTCTTTAATAGGTTTGCTGTCATCTGCTTTATTGGAAAACAATAGTTGGTTCCTATTACTATCGTAAGAGTGTTTATTGAGGATATTGATCATTATAAAATCAGATACTTTGTAAAAGATGGGTTATAAAAGGGCATTGGCTTGACATACTTTAAGCCATGAGGTTTATTTTTAGTTTTGATCCATTGAAATGGCAAATGTGCCTGACATTTCTTTGCAGCTTGTTAATAGAATTAATAGAGGCTTGAGAAAAATGGTCTAATGCTTTTTCTGCCTTTTCCTGATAGAAACTTTCATACAATAAAGGCTATTGGTTGCTTTTCTTAAATGTTTTTTTTCCTCCACTGGTCGCAGGGCAATTTATAGGTAAAATGTAGTATAAATGCTAGAGAATCTATGTGTGTTAATTTTTAGAAATGTCATGGTGTACTTAAATATGCTACAAACTTTTAAAAGAGGCTTGCTGATTTAATATTTAGCTTTTTATTTTTAGTTTAAACATTTACAGTAATTGCTATGATTCTTTCTGGTTTAAAAAATCTGTAGCATTTTGTTTGGTAATACCAATTATTTAAAACAGGAGTTTAGTGCTGGGACTGTTTTAGTAATCCTACAGATCTTTATTGGTGTTTATATTTTGTTATATATTTTTACAATATTTTATTCATTTGAAAGGTGGAATGATGGAGAGATACAGAGAGAGATTCACTCCTAAGATGGCTGTAGTGGCTGAGGCTGGGCCAGGCTGAAGCTAGGAACCTGGAACTCCATCTGGGTCTCCCGGGGCACAAATATGTGGGCCATTGTCTGCTGCTTTCGCTGGTGCATTAGGAGGGACCTGGGTCGGAAACAAAGCAGCTGAGACTCAATTGGAGCTCTGATATGGGATGTCAGTGTTGTAGGCTGGGGCTTAACCTGCTGTGCCACACACTGGCCCCTGGTGTTTATATTTTAGAAACAACATCCCCAAACCTGTTGCTCCTGAATATTGTTGAAGTTAAGATAGTATGTGTGATTCGTTCCTTTAAATGAAATCTAAATTTCTAACTGCAGGGGTGGGAGATACTGGGAGTGACAGGCTGAAAGAATTGGGAGGAAGGGGGACAATGTTGGCTTGTTCTACAACCTTCTCAGCATACCTTGGAGATATTGTGGGTGTAGTTCCAGACCACTGCCATATGGTGAATATTGCAATAAAGCAAATCGTACAAGGTATATTATTGTTTTCAGTAAATATGAAAGCTATGCTTACATTATACTGTAGTCTGTGAAGTAAGCAGTAACGTTATACCTAAAAAACTGGTGTATATATCTTAATTTAAAAATACTTGATCATGTGGGTGGCATTTAGCCTAGCACTTAAGACAGTCGTGAAGACACCTATATCCCACCGTGGATACCTGAGCCTGATTTCCAGCTCCAGCTCCTGACTCTGGGGAGACAGAGGTGGTGACTCAAATATTTGGTTTCTTTAACCCATGTAGGAAACCTGGATTAAATTCCTGATACCCAGCTTTAGACTCAGCAGTTGTGGGTATTTGGAGAGTGAACCAATAGGTAGGAGCTCTCTGTCTCCCTGCCTCTCATAAAATGCTAACTGTCATCTGAGTTGTTGGAAGAATGACGCTGATAGACTTGTTTGATGTGCAGTTACCACAGACCTTGTATTTGATTTGGGGGGGAGCAAGTATTTGTGAAGTGCAGTGAAATGAGCTACACCTATACTACGCATACATTTTTGACATTTACATATACAACAGGGTAACTTTTTAAGATGTAATCAGGTATTTTAGAAATTCATTTCACAAGAGTTTTTGATTTGTCTGAAATTTCTGTTTTATGTTTATCAGGATGGAGAACAAGAACAAATCCCTGAGTTGCCAGATCCAGGCTTAGAAATGGGCATTTTGCCCAGAGAGATCCGGAAACTGGTAGAGCGGAGAAAACATGTCAAACAGCTAATGAAACAGCAAGATTTAAATCCAGACCTTGTTCTTCAGGTATATCTTTTCTTTCTTTCTTTCTTTTTTTTTTTTTAAGACAGTTGCAGAGGCAGAGAGAGAGGTCTTCCATCCGCTGGTTCACTCCCTAAATGGCCTCAATGGCTGGAGCTGGGCCAATCTGAAGCCAGGAGCCAGGTGATTCTTTCGGGTCTCCCACGTGGGTGCAGGGGCTCAAGGACTTGGGCCGTCTTCTACTGCCTTCCCAGGCCATAGCAGAGAGCTGGATTGGAAGTGGAACAGCCGGGTCTAGAACCAGTTCCCATATGGGATGCCAACGCTTCTGGCCAGGCCTTTAACCTGATGCGCCACAGCACCGGCTCCCAGGTGTATCTTTTCACTAAGAGACACCCGAGGGAGAGTCTCATTCTTATGTATTTGATTATTTAGGAGTGGTATGGGCAGGGTGCTGTAGGCTAATGCATATGCTTGTTTGAACGTGATCATTCAAAACGGCTAGAATGCCTCGGAATGGGAGGTTCCTCCTACAAAATCTGTGTCTGAGCAAGGCCCTCTGACTCCTGGGAGCTTTGGTGTCTTTGTTTACTTGCTTCTAGGATGTTAGGGAATTGTGGATCTGGGAGGATGGATTGACTATGCTAAGAGCTTTTTTTTTTCAGGGATATTGAATGTTTCTCTTTTTCAGTGGTGGTTAGAAGGACATATAATGTAATGCTTAAGCATCTGCAAATATTGTTGTTTGTCTTTTGTCCTTGTGTGACCTGCAGTATGACATTCGACAGAAGGCTTTGAAGCTTACAGCGAACAGTATGTACGGTTGCCTGGGATTTTCCTACAGCAGGTTTTACGCCAAACCACTGGCTGCCTTGGTGACATACAAAGGAAGAGAGGTAAATGGCTTAATAATATTTATGTCCTCAGAATATTTTATATATGTTATAGTTCAGGACAGCTAAATTTTTTAGTTTGCTGTATAGCTTCAAATGTCCCTTTTCTTTGGACAGGTTTGAGAAAAATAGATATTTAAGGATTCATTTATTCATGAGTTCAATGTGTGTCTTTACTAACCATCTGCTATGTGCCAGGCTTCTCCTGGGCACTGGGGATAGAGTGTTGAACAAGATCTGAAACGTCCCTGCTGTCACAAGGGTTGCTTTCCCTGGAGTGGCGAGAGTGGAGAAGGGAGACATTGATCTGAGACGTGGGGAGGGGGAGAAGGTAGTGAGTAAACAAATGTAAGAAATAACTAAGGAAATATAATAGAAGTAAATGCTCTGCAGATAGGTAAGACAGGGATGGGCTAGAGAATGGGATGGCTAGTTTAGGTTGGTAATGAAGTCTACTTTGGATATTACATGAATGAGACCTAAATGATAAAAGGGGAATGGGTACTTTTTGCTGATGGATTAGCTTAGAGAATGGGGAAAAGGTAGAAATGAAGAATATTGCTAGTGGAGCATTAAATGAAGATGGGGAAAATTGGGAAGGAGGGACTAGGAGTTGCATCTTAGATGTGTTACCTTGGAGATGAGTAATGGATCTCCAAACATATTAAGCAGCTAGTTGGATGTATACATCCAGAGTTCCAGGAATATATCAGGACTGGAGTAATCGGTCAAGAGTTCCAGGAATATATCAGGACTGGAGTAATCGGTCAAGAGTTCCAGGAATATATCAGGACTGGAGTAATCGGTCAAGAGTTCCAGGAATATATCAGGACTGGAGTAATCGGTCAAGAGTTCCAGGAATATATCAGGACTGGAGTAATCGGTCAAGAGTTCCAGGAATATATCAGGACTGGAGTAACCGGTCAAGAGTTCCAGGAATATATCAGGACTGGAGTAACCGGTCAAGAGTTCCAGGAATATATCAGGACTGGAGTAATCGGTCAAGAGTTCCAGGAATATATCAGGACTGGAGTAATCGGTCAAGAGTTCCAGGAATATATCAGGACTGGAGTAACAGGTCAAGAGTTCCAGGAATATATCAGGACTGGAGTAACAGGTCAAGAGTTCCAGGAATATATCAGGACTGGAGTAACAGGACAAGAGTTCCAGGAATATATCAGGACTGGAGTAATCGGTCAAGAGTTCCAGGAATATATCAGGACTGGAGTAATCGGTCAAGAGTTCCAGGAATATATCAGGACTGGAGTAATCGGTCAAGAGTTCCAGGAATATATCAGGACTGGAGTAATCGGTCAAGAGTTCCAGGAATATATCAGGACTGGAGTAATCGGTCAAGAGTTCCAGGAATATATCAGGACTGGAGTAACAGGTCAAGAGTTCCAGGAATATATCAGGACTGGAGTAATCGGTCAAGAGTTCCAGGAATGTATCAGGACTGGAGTAATCTGTCAAGATTTACTGGCTTTAGAAGGATGTCCCTGCTCCCACTCTTCCAAAAAAAGAAAGGCCATTGCTACACAGATTTTCGGTGTTGTCACTTTGAAAACTGTAAACTTCATCTGCTTTAGTACTAGGTACATAAGTTTTGTTTCTTTTTAATAAGAGAGAGTAATAGAGAAGAAGAGAAAGAAACAGAGAAATCTTCTATATGCTGTCTCACTCGTTAAGTGCCCACAATAGCTGGGGTTGGGTCAGGCTGAAACCAGGAGTCAGGAACTCCATCTGGGTCTCGTACCTGGGTGATGGGGCCCAAGCACTTGAGCTGTCTGTCATCTGCTGCCTCCCAGATAGTGTGTTACCAGGAAGCTGGATTGGAAGTGGAGGAGCATTCCAGTTAATAGCTTAACTTGCTGTGCCGCAACCATGAAGTTTTTTTTTTTTCTAAAAGATTTTATTTATTTATTTCAGAGGTAGAGTTAACTATAGTGAGAGGGAGGGAAGGAGATAAAGGTCTTCCAACCGCTGGTTCACTCCCCAATTGGCCGCATGGGCGGGAGCTGAGCTGATTCGAAGCCAGGAGCCAGGAGCTTCCTCCAGGTCTGCCACATGGGTGCAGGGGCCCAAACGTTTTGGCCATCTTCCACTGCCCTCCCAGGCCACAGCAGAGAGCTGGATCAGAAGCGGAGCAGCTGGGACTAGAACCAATGCCCATATGGGATGCTGGCACTGCAGGCAGAGGATTAACCTACTGTGCCACAGCGCCGGCCCCTGAAGTTTTCTTAATTTGTAAAAGAATATTTATATTAAATTCCTTTTAACTTCTTTAAGCTTTTGTTTGCTGCCTCTCAGTGAACGTAAGGCTCCTTGGTCTTAAAGAAGGGAAGTAATAGGGGCCGGTGCTGTGGCGCAGTGGGTTAAAGCCCTGGCCTGCAGTGCCGGCATCCCTTATGGGCACCTGTTTGAGTCCCAGCTGCTCTACTTCCAGTCCAGCTCTCTGCTATGGCCTGGGAAAGCAGTGGAAATGGCCCAAGCACTTGGGCCCCTGCACCTGTGTGGGAGACCCAGAAGAAGCTCCTGGCTCCTGGCTTTGGATCAGCTCAGCTCTGGCCCTTGTGGTCATTTGGGGAGTGAACCAGTGGATGGAAGATCTTTCTCTCTCTCTGGCTCTACCTCTGTAACTCTTTCAAATAAACCAAAATAATTTTTTTAAAAGAAGGGAGGTAGTAGTTTTGGGTAACATGCTTGTATTAGGGAGCTGGACTCAGAGTATTCTAGCGCAGGGATTGGTGAGTTATGACAAGTGGGCCTAATCCAGCCTACCATCTGTTTTTGTAAATAAGGTTTTATTGGAACAGATCCAAGCTCATTCATGTATGTATTATTTAGGATCACTTTTGTGTGACGACAGCGGAGTTGAGTTGTCAGGATAGAGTCTTGCATGACCCAGAGAGCCTAAAATATTTACTGTTTGGTCTATTTTCAAAAAAATGTTTGCTGATTCCTGCTTCTGAGTCTAGACCAGTTGTATCCAGTAGAACATTATGGTGTTCTGTATATTCTCCAGTATACCAACCTCTAGCCACCAGTGGCTAGTGACTGCATGATATTTGGTTAGTGCCAATGAGCCAAAGAACTGGTTGCTTAGATTTAATAATTAGAAATGGAATGAATTTAAACAGCCACAGGTGACTCATGGCCACTGTATTAGTACAGATCTAGCTGGTATATGCAACAAACATCAGAATGCTTCGGGTCACTCTTCTGTTGGCAGCTGTCTCAAAGACTTGGCTTAGGGTGCAGGGAGGAAGGACAAAACATGTGTTAACACCAGTGATATGCTAGAAGTTTTTTTGTTTGACAGAGTGGACAGTGAGAGAGAGAGACAGAGGAAAGGTCTTCCTTTGCCGTTGGTTCACCCTCCAATGGCTGCCACGGCCGGCGCACCGCGCTGATCCGAAGCCAGGAGCCAGGTGCTTCTCCTGGTCTCCCATGGGGTCCCATGGGGTGCAGGGCCCAAGGACATCCTCCTCTGCACTCTCTGGCCACAGCAGAGAGCTGGCCTGGAAGAGGGGCAACCGGGACAGAATCCGGCACCCCGACCGGGACTAGAACCCGGTGTGCCGGCGCCGCTAGGTGGATGATTAGCCTGTTGAGCCGCGGCGCCGGCCCTAGAAGTTTTGTGTGTATCATTTCATTATATCCACACAAGAGTACTTTTATATAGATAATCCCATTCCCATTTTGCAGATGAGGAATCTAAGCACCAAAGATGTGAAGTATAACAAGAGGCTGTTTCGTTTTCATTCCATATCTTCTTGATTGTTTTTTACTGTGTCAGGGTTGTCCCCCTCTCCGAATGTCTTTCGTGGTTGTAGTTGTGCTTTATGTTCCACCTGTATTCCTTCAAGGTCATCTTTTCCATACTGATCTCAAGATATAGACCTTTTATACATGGGAGAGATGAGATGTTTTAGGGGCTAGTTGAAGTGAAAGAAGGATGTTTTCAGTTTCTTAGGCTAAGTTTGCTTCAAAATTATTTAAATTTTGTTTCTGTATATATATCCAGTGGCTTCTGGTAGAATACCATCTTATTTTTGTATTAGGAAATGCACTCACTATGCCCCAACTGGGTGCTAATACATGGGTTGACTATTGAGATTGGATCAAGGTTACTCTTAAGTTTCTCACGAGAGGCAATAGTTGACAATTTACTCCCTTGGAGAGTGCCTCTTGCTGTTGGGAAATCCCTGTTGTTACATTTTCTGCGTTGGCTCAGAAATCCACAAGCTTAAAAGGGCACTGTTGATAATGATAAGCCCCAAATTTGTCCAATGATCTCCCCCACTCCCTTAATCCATTGTATTTTAAGGGCAATATTTTCGTTTAGCTGTATTTTTTAATAAGGAGTTTAAACGCAGAGTTTTTATTTTTCAGTTGTATGACAGTGATAAATCTTTAATCTGTGAAAAACCCCTAATCTCTCCATTAAAAAGCAAAGAATTTCAAATATATCTAGAAATAATCATGTGATTTAAATTCTTAGTTTTCTACTTTGTTTCCCCCCTTTGTTCCTTTCTACATTTGATGATAAATACAGTCACTGGAATGTAGGCCTTTAAAGTAATGGGCAGTTAATGATACATAAATATACATTTACTCCCTGGAACTCTTATCAAAGAAGATCCAACTTCACTTACAAAAATGACAAAATTATTTCTTAAAGTAGAAATGATTGTTAAAGTACTGGTGATAATTATTAGCCTTTGTGGATGGTAATTGTCTTGCTATGAAGTCTTGCTGATTTTCAGGTATGTCTTAATTATTAAAGAGGTGGAAGGGGTAAAGTATAAAATGAGAGGCAGTTTGCTGAGATTTTGGAATATCTTTATAACTTACTAGACTGGGATTTTTGGTAAAAAGATAGAATGGGTAAAAGAATGGGGAATATGATAGAATGCATAAAATAATACAATAATTTGAAGATCCTACCACTGGTATCTTTTTAAAGTCCTTGTAGGATAAATTAGATTAAAGCTCAAATGGAAATTAATGAGAAGGTAACCTTGCAGTATTTCATTGCAAAAGATGATAGCATTTTGTATTTGTATATGGATTAATATACAGTCTGAGGAGACTTTGAAGACCCCTTCTCCATTTTTTATTTCCAAATCTGTTTTGTATGTACTCGGTTTTGTTGGAATCAAGTAGTTTGGCTCTGCTCACCAAATAATTTCTGTAATCAAATGTATTATGGCTGCGAGTAATTACTGATTGTACTTTTAAAAGCAGATTGACAATAAAAGTGCTAATAATTGTGTCAAATGGATATCAAGATTGTTTTTCACAGGTGTGATCTTTTACACTTAAAGTCTTCTATGATTTTTAATTGCTCTGTTATATAAGAATTAGTTAAGGAATTGTACGAGGGACCTCACAATGTGCAAGTTACTTGGAAATAATGAAGTCATTGTTTCCCGCGAAGTAATAGGGAAATTTTATTAATAGACATTAGGAAGTGAACTTATACAAATGCCTTCTGTACTTGAGTTTGCTCTGTGTAGCGAGGCATAAAAAAGAAGTTGGTAAGCCTGTAGCATTGGGTGCACATGCATATTTAAACCATGAAGAAAACATCAGTTGTCAAGTATCATGTGTGGTAATTGAAGGGATTGTTCACTAGATGGCGATAGACACCCTGAGATCATTAATCAATTAAGGATTTTATTCTGTGAACAATAGTGGAGACCGTTTAGTGACCTAAATCCACGTTTTAGACTCTTATAAATTTTGGAATGTTAGAGAAAGACCAAAACTGCTCCAAATGTTTGTATTAGTTGAATCTGTTTGTGATATAAAATAATGATGTTTTTGAATTTTAAGTTAATTGCTAAAAACAATCATTTCACTTATAATGTAGCAAGCTGATTCTTTCAAGTAGCTAAATTTATATCTCTGGCCGGGGAGCAACAGTACATGATTCCCTCAGTTGAAGTACCAGAACTGATTTTTTTAAAAAAGATTTATTTATTTATTTGAAATTCAGAGTTACACAGAGAAGGAGAGTCAGAGAGAGAGGTCTTCATCCGCTGGTTCACTCCCCAGTTGGCTACACAGGCTGGAGCTGAGCCAATCTGAAGCCAGGAGCTAGGTGCTTCTTTCCAGTCTCCCGTGTGGGTGCAGGGACCCAAAGACCTGGGCCATCTTCGACTGCTTTCCCAGGCCACAGCAGAGAGCTGGGTCGGAAGAGGAGCAGCTGGGACTAGAACTGGTGCCACAGGTGGAGGATTAACCTACTGCGCCACAGCACCAGCCCGTTTTTTTTTTTTTTAATGTATCATGCTATATGTGTCCCTTTACAGTTTTCAAAAGAAAGAGGGCAACTATTCTGTATACCACATTTTACATATAACTGTTTTGCTACATTTTTAGATTTGATTCATTCATGTTAACTACTGTGTACTGCTTCCATGAGTAAATACAATACAGTGTAGTTTTTTATTCTTCCGTTGTTTACATTTTTAAAAAAGATTTATTTATTGTTAGAGAGAGAGAGAGAAGGAGAGACAGAACTCTCTGGATGGTCACAACGGCCAGGTCTAGGCCAGGCTGAATGAAGCTGGGAGCCATGAGCTTCTTATAGGTCTCCTAAGTGGGTGAAGGGTCCTAAGGACTTGAAGCATCTTCCGCTGCTTTCCCAGGTGCGTTAGCAGGGAGCTGGATTGGAAGTGGAGCAGCTAGGATGCGAACTGGCGACAATATGGGATGCCAGCACTGCAGGCCTTCGCTTAACCTGCTGTGCCACAATGCTGGCCCCAGCGTTGTTTACATTTTTAAGTTTCCAAGTTTTCATGATTTTTAATTTTTGTGCTATTAAAATAAGTGCTATGGTAGAGAGTGCCCACTGTGCCACTGTGTCACAGTTTTTCTAGTGTATATCTCGGAGAGAAGTTTGCACAACTGCAAGCAGTATGTGAGATTTTATTGATGAGAGCAGTTACTTATCATAGCAAGCTGAATTCTTGTGTGAGATGAGTTTATATCTCTAACTAGACTCTGATCTATCACTTAGGGTATCAGAGGCTAACCTTAAGAACTGGAAATGATTTTGATAAAACAGTTTTGCCTCTTTGAATTTTTTGTTGAGGGATTTTAACAATATACTTGTAAATATGTTCGTTGCATGATCCTTGATATTCCACATCCTTGCTAGTACTTGTTATGACCAGAATTTTCATTTTTTACCAATCTCGGTGTAAAATAACATCTCATTGGATTCAATTTGCATTTCCCTAATTCTGAGTTAAGTTGGGTATCTTCCCCTGTTTATTAAATCTTCCATTTTCTTCTTTGGAATGCCTGTATGAATTTATGTAAATGTTTTGTTGTGTTATATTTTCCTTAGTATTTCTTCTTAGGTGTTCAAAGGCCAATCCTTGTTTCATCATTTGTGTTGCAAATACGTTTTTTAGGTTGTGGCTTGTCCTTTAACTTTATTTGTGGTCTTCCATTGTGCAGAAGTTTCTGATTTTAATGCTAAATATTTGATTTACCTCTGCAGCTGAGGGGTTTTTTCTTAAGAAATCTTTCCCTTTTCCCTTTTTTTAAATTATTATTTGCCTTTATTTTCTTCTAAAAGTTGCAAAATGTGGCTTTTTATACTTAGGTCTTTAATCCTTCTGGAAATTATTTTTAGTGATGGTATAAGTTAAGGATATAATTGTTTTGTTTGCTTCCTTGTGGAACTGTTGTTCTGGTTTCTCCATTCCAAAGGTTGACAAACTATGACCTATATACTTACTTGCTTTCATGTGTTTTAAATAAAACTTTATTGGGACATGCCACACCTGTTTGTTTATAGGTACATTTACTGTATAAGGATAGAGTTGAGTAGTTGTCACAGAGACTAAGTGACCTGCAGAGGGGGAAAAAGGCTAAAACATATACCATACACACACACACACACACACACTCACTATCTGGGCCTTTATAAAAAAGTGTGTAAGAGAAGAATAACTCTTTCCTAACAGTATTAGGTATAGTTAGTGAAAACAGAAGAAATAACACTAAAGGTGGTAAGAAGGAAGGAAATAGTCTTTTGGACATAGAAAAAACACAGTCTTTAAAGTTTTCTTTGTTCTTTTATTGTCACATGCATATTTCTGTTAGCCCAAGTAGAGCAAAGGAGAAGTTTTTGTCCTCAGAAGTTGTGTATAATGTTTTTTATATCTGTGTGTATGTTTTTTTAAAGATTTATTTTATTTGAAAGACAGAGTTACAGAGAAGTAGAGCCAGAGAGAGAGAGAGAGAGAGGTCTTCCATGTGCTGGTTCACTCCTCAAATGACTGCAGTGGCCAGAGCTGAGCTGATCGAAAGCCAGGAGCCAGGAGCTTCTTCCTGGTCTCCACATGGGTTCAGGGGCCCAAGCGCTTGGGCCATCTTCCACTGCTTTCCAGGCCATAGCAGAGAGCTGGAGTGGAAGTGGAACAGCCA